CCTCGGTGCTCTTCAGCTTTGTACTTGTTTTGGCTTTCAAACTTTTTTCATCTGAGCGTCACTGGTTAGTCTTGTGTGGACGAGACGCACGTCTGGCGTATTGGATTTTAAATCTGGGGCCTTTTGTTAGCTATTATTCGTGTGTTTCTTTTTCCTATATGATCTCCCATTTATTTGTATTGTAATCCTGTCATGTAATGTTGTCATTTTAATGTTATATTTAACATTGCCATAAAAGCGGGAGGTTTGGCATGCCACAAAACCAGGTTCAACCCACCATTTTGTTCTTAAAATGTCCTGTACCAAGCCAGGAAATGGCCATTGTTATATTATAGTTCGTTTCTGTGTGTGTTACATTTTAATGTTGTGTTTTTGTTGTGTCGTTGTTCTCCTCTTATATTTGATGCGTTTCCCTCAGTTTTAGTTTGTAACCCGGATTTGTTTTTATCTCTATCGATTTATGAGTTTCGAACAGCGGTATACTACTGTTGCCTTTATTGATGTAATATGAATATTCACCCTGCTTTGTACTAGACCGACATGCTGAGCCGGATTTTTAACGTGCTAGTTCACAAGGTAACAGTCCGGAGGAAGACATATCACCTTACCCGGACACATTATTCTGGCTCTGAACCGAACAATCTTTGTTCTTACTCCTCAATGCCGCGTGCTTAGTGGAGTAGCAATAATACCAGTTTTAAAGTCTTTGGTTTGCTTTGGTGTTCGAACCCACGGCCTCCCGAACTCGAGGCGAACACACTACCACGAGACACCGAGGCGGTCGTGGCTACACGTATTATTTGCAAATGAGATGCATAGAAAATGCTCTCCACACTTTGAAGAGAAAATCTATGAAACACTACCAATTCTTTATCTGTTTGCATGCATAAAACCTGCATGTGGTATTCAGGATGAAATGAAAACCGGGTGCTGTATGCAGAAACGAACGCAAGGCCATTAATATCGTTTTCCCATTTCAAATCTTTTGTAATATTATCCCCTGGAAACTGATAACCATCGCCGTAAACATAATAAATACAATCTGTTACAGTGACTCAATAGAAAAAAAAATCTTTCTATAAAAAACATGTCAGTTCCAAAGGAAAATATACATTTAACTGGATGTAAACGCTGGACATCACTTATCCCTGTTGTCTATTTAAAATGATATTATGGGTGTGTCAAATATCTCACAATGGTTATCTGTGAATAACGCCGATAATATAAAGATTTAATTGCTTTCATTAACCTCAAGAAAAAAAAATCATTAAAAGGTCGTCAAGATGAGCAAGAAGTCAGTTTTTAAGACTTTAAAATTATTTATAAGAACACTCACTTAAGTTGATGAACCAGGGTTATGTAAAAGAAAAAAGTTCATCAGAAGATAACAAGACCTTGTTGATAAATATTCAGTATCAACTTTACAAATAATACATGATGATCCTGAAGTATAGATTCTAGATATTGACGTTGTTTATCATCTTAATTAGGTGTTAAAATATTCTTTTATTTGACTTTGTATATTTTTAACCTTTACTATGAAGTCCAATTTAAGTAATATCCTTTTGGCGTGGCTCGGTATTTATACATCCCGGCATTGTGTTATTGTACTATGGAAATTTTTTTAATTCTTGTCTTTCACTTTTGCTTAATATGTGCTTTTTCTATAAAGTGTCTACATGCCATTTTGATTTTCTTTGTTGACATAGTTTTATGTTTTATAGTGATTAAGATTTTGTGGCCTTGATTGTGAAACAAATAAAAATTTTTGTCCTTCCAAAGTGTGAAAAATGAACAGGTTTCGATGATTTTTCAACGAATAAAGTTCCACAACTCCGAAATGTCATATCATAAATTTCTAAAATAAACTAAAGGGAGCTTATTTCAATAGATATAGACAAGTCACCAAAGTTTTAAGAACTGCTCAAAGTGTTTTTGAACTGGGAAAATGCCCCCTTTTTATGAATAAAGATCGAGTACTCCAAAACGTAAAATCAGCAATTTTTAAAAATCGAAAGGGAACTTATATCAATATATACAAACAATTCAACAAAATGTAATGAAAATTGTTCAAAGCATGTTTGATTTATAGTCAGAAAATTGAAAATCCCGTCATTTTTATGTATAAAATCCCATACCTCAGAAACCTCATATCTAAAATTTATAAAAATCGAAGGGAAGCTTGCGTCGATAGAAAAAAACAATTTACAAAAGTTTCATGAAAATTGGTGAAATTGTTTTTGTGTAATTGTCCAATGTGTTGATGACGGACGGACAGACGGACGGTATAACATAATACGCCCTGTAAACGGGCGTATAAAAATTTAACTAGAAATAACCAAGATTTTAAATTTTCAGGTTTTTTTTGTAATCAGGTTTTTTTTGTAATCAGTTCCTAAAACCAAATATTTCACACAAAAATTAGATTACTATTGATATCAATACTTAGAGGAAAACAAAGAATGATATAGTCTGTCTTCTATAAAGATCATATTTTAAAAGTTTCAACCTTGAATGACAGTTTTTTTAATTTCCATTTTTTACAATTTTTCTCTAAAAACCACATTTTACCCCAAAACTACCATTTTTAAATACTAATAACAATTATAGTACTTTATCATATAAACATAATATAGCATGTTCTATTTTCTATAAAGATCCCACTTCAAAAATGTTAATCATAAATAACCGAGTTTTTTTTCAGTTTTCAGCGTTTTACTCTCTAAAACATATATTGAAACTAAAATTACCCAAATATTAATATCAATAACTATGGGACTTCACAATATAAACATAAAACAGTATTTTATATTTTCTATAAAGATCACATTTCAAAAATTCAAACCATTAACACCTCAAAATTACTTTAATATGAATACTAATAACTAGTAGACTACATAATACAATAATAGGATAAAGTATCCTGTCTTCACCAAGCTATAAGTCTAAAAATATAACCATAAATAGCAGTTTTTCTTCTTTTCAAGTTTTAATTATTTTTTCTCTAAAAACAAAATATTTCACCCCCAAAATAGCCTTTTCCTCCAATTATATTAATGTAGATTTTTAATATGTTGTTATTACAAGTCTATCATTATTCTAAATGGCATAAAAAAAACCTTGTGTTGCAATTAGCTGCAGGTTGAATGATTTAAGAGCTAAATTGACTAGGCTATAAATTCAGAATTTGTATTTAACAATCTTATCATCATACGTTTGAATCATGATGCTCAGGTTTTTTTTATAATGCTTTCAGGGTTGTATTAAAAGTAATACAATCAAAACCGTATATACACACCACTCACAAAAATATACAAAGAAATTAAATAGTAAAGATAGAAAGACAACAACTTATCTTTTACGAACAAAGTAAATATCAAATATTGTACACATTATTTCAACAGAAAATGTGATGAACGATTGTAAAACAGAATATTATACATTATAGGTTGGTGCTATTGAATATTATTGATCAAAGATTGAATGTAATAAGCAATTTCGTGCAAGGACATGTAAGTCACCTGACATCTGGTAATTTTAAAGTTATATATTTTTCGTCGCATTTAAATTATATAACGACTGCAATAAAATATGTGTTTATATATCAATAGTTACAATGCGCTGTAAGAAAAGTATATTAATGCCAGTTAACAAACTTAATTATCACCAATTAGCGTTTATTTCAATGTGAAAACAGGTAAGAACTTACAACCTATTCTAAAATCAATCTTGACTGGAATCGTGATATTAAATGTAAATGTAATTAAGGGAAACATAAGTAAACCAATGCAGGTTGATAATCAAAATTATAAGGAGATAGCATATACAAAAGTTAAAGTCTCTGAAGCAATTAACCCAAAAAAATCGCAAAATATGTACTTAGGAAAGTGAGACGTTGTCAAAGGGCCGGTATTAATTCCCGAACAAATTACTGAGAAATTTAGATATTGACGCAGAAATTCGTTACATGCACCTTAACCAATTAAATAATGAAATAAACTATACAAATTGTGACTTGGATGGAGAGTTTTTTCATTGGCCCTCTTACCACATCTTCTAATATCTATATAAGTAGGATTGTAAAATTTATAAACCTCACATTAATATTATATTCCTTGCTATATTTTATAACGTGATTTTAATTATTTCTTTCACAAATAATAATCTTTTTATGAGGGAGCACATCGTCTTTTTGCTTTAGTTTATATCAACATGAATATATCATCTGTTGTAAACGAAACACCGTTTATAAGTTCCACTCAATATCACGATATCACTTTTATTTAATTTTCAGCAAATTAAAACATGATTGAGTGTTGGCTGAGTGATTTTAGAGCTAAATTGACTAGGCTATTAAGCCAGAGTTTGTATTTAAAAGGCTTATCATTATATGTTTGAATCATGATGCTCAGGGTTTTTAATAATGCTTTCAGGGTTGTATTAAAAGTAATACAATCAAAACCGTATATACACACCACTCACAAAAATATACAAAGAAATTAAATAGTAAAGATAGAAAGACTACAACTTATCTTTTACGAACACGGTGGCCGAGTGGTCTAAGTAGTTACTACTGTAATCACTAGCCAGTCAACACTGAGGTTGTGAGTTCGAACCCCGCTCGTGCGGGTGCACCCGACTCCAATCTTAATTGACTAGGATTGTCAGTTTTCCTATCGAAGGTCGGTGGTTTTCTCCGGGCACTCCGGCTTCCTCAACCAATAAAAACTGGCCGCCACGAAATAACCCAAAAACGGTGCTTAAAAGTGGCGTTAAAACACAAAAATCAATCAAAATTAAATATTTTACGTACAAAGTAAATATTAAATATTGTACACATTATTTCAACAGAAAATGTGGTGAACGATTTCAAAACAGAATATTATACATTTTAGATTGGTGCTATTTAATATTATTGATCAAAGATTGAATAAAAAGCAATTTCGTGCAAGGACATTTATGTCACCTGACACCTGGTAATTTTAAATTTATATATTTTTCGTCGCATTTAAATTATATAACGACTGCAATAATATATGTGTTTTTATGTCAATATTTACAAGACGCTGAAAGAAAAGTATATTAATTCTGGTTTAACAAACTTTATTATCACCACTTAGTGTTTATTTCAATGTGAAAACAGGTAAGAACTTACAAACTATTTTGAAATCACCTAAAATTCATATTTCGAGACAATGTATGGTTATTCTTTATATACCGCAACTCCTATAACTGTTCCAAATGAAATATTTAGGGTAAAAACCATCATGTTTTAATTTGGAGCTGACGACGAAAATTTCCGCCAGCCTGTATGTTTTACTGACGTCATAAATGAAACCCTACGGAAACGCATTGTCAACGTCATAAACAAGGCGATATACGGTCAGTGACTGTATATCACATATGAATATACGTTCAATGTAATTTGAATGCGCAAATACCACAGCTGCAGTATATATGTAATTAATGGAAACATAAGTAAATCAATGCCGGTTGATAATCAGCATTATAAATTTTAAGGAGATGGCATATAAAAAAGTTGAAGTCTCTGAAGCAGTTATACCAAAACTCTCAAAATATGTACTTAGGAAGTGAGACGTTGTCAAACGGCCGGTAATAACTCCCGAAAAAAATCCTGATAAACTTAAATATTGACGTAGAAATTCGTTACATGCAACTTAACCTATTAGGTCAAGACATAAACTATATCTAGGATTGTAAAATTAATGAACCTCACATTTTACACATGTTTTATATTCCTTGCTATAGTTTATAACGCGGTTTTAATTATTTCTTTCACAAATAATAATCTTTTTATGAAGGAGAACATCGTCTTGTTGACGTAGTTTATGTCAACATGAATATATCATCTGTTGTAAACGAAACACCGTTTATAAGTTACACTCAATCTCGCGATATCACTTTTATTTAAATTTCAGAAAATTAAAACATGATTCAGTGTTGGTTGGATAATTCCAACAATTTACAGTAGTGGCAAGTGTCGAGAATACGTGAATTAAAGAAGAAGACGTTTTACATTTTATTAATTGTTATCTATCTAGAACTAAACAAGTATAACGTCACAAAGTCTTTACGTTACAATATCGCGCCGTATTTACAACATTCTGGGGTCGCAAAAAGAAAAATTTCTATGTAACATACAATCTCTAATTTGAATAAGAAATTTCAAATCGAAAATATCTGGACGGTTGAAAATTAAAGTCTCTATGTATAGAAAATAATTTATGTCTCTGTATAGTGGTAATTTTGATGGCAAACAAATTACGAATTTTTTTCACCAGCCTTTAAATTTGCTTGACGTCTTGGATGAATGTCTTGTATGGTACTGTGTTCACATCTTCTTTTTTTCTAACAGGGTAGTGGGGTATGTAATTTTTGTTTTTCCGTTACATTCCTTGTTGTCAATTCTTTAAACGAAACCTCTATGCACTTTATTCTTTATGGTATTGTCATAAGCTTTCAAGATAACTCTTTTCTTGTCTAGTCTTCTTCTTACAGATTCGGTTCCTCGTTGTGCTACACTCAAATTTGCCGGAAGTTGATCGTGGTCTCATTTCCATGATAACTTGGCAATATATTGATCGCCTTCAAATTCAATGCAAGTGTTCTGATACGTATTCAAGTAATATTTATTATCTTGATCTAGTTCTTTATAGTTGATACCTATTGATTCTGATTATAAGTTCCAGAATGATGTGATGTCGATTGCTTCAACTGCGGTGGATCCATCTCCGCGGATGATTTTGTCTTCAACAAACTGCCAATAGTAATCTGCTTCTTTTAAAACTGCAATTTCAATCCTATTCTTGTCGGTGATTGAATGCTCGAGATTCAAGCCTTGTTGATACGTGTACTTGTTTTCAAGTATAATTTTCGGATATGATTCTATCACAGAACGGCTATTTTCGGTATGACAAAAACATCAATTGGTATTATCTGTCTCGTCTCTGTTTCAACCAATAACGTACACGTACCTAAATGTCGTATGTTATTACTGGTGTCTCCGAAACATGATAGTTGTATGGTTTTTTTGTTGTAGATTTTAAGTTTCAGATTCGTAGAAAAGCATCTATAATGACGTTTGGCAATTGAATGAGCGTTGGCACCTTCATCAAAAAGGATATTTGTGTCAATACCTATACTATCGAACCAAACGGGTACAACTGCTGTTTTCAATAAAACACAAGAATGCGCCTGATGTGTATTGTGGAGTATTTTTCTTCTGTTTTTCCCTCTTTATCTTTTACAAAGTTTACATTTACGGATTGGGATGATTTGATAGAATGTGTTGCGTTTTTATGTTCTCTGTTTTCTTTACGAAATGCGTTTTGATTCATGCAAGTTTAACTTTGGACATATGTACTTCTTTTACCGACCAAACTTTTGGCATGTGTATATAAAAAAGTAGATGTGGTATGACTGCAAATGAGACAACTCTTCACAAGAGATCAAATGACACAGAAATTAACAACTATAGGTCACCGTACGGCCTTCAACAACGAGCAAAGCCTAAACCGCATTATTTTATAAATTATTTCAAATCATCTATATTCTGCATTCATATTTGTTTGAGCATTGCAAAAGTCGTCGGTGCACTCGAATAATCCTATGTGTGATGTACATTTCATCATGCTTTCAACAATTACAAACAACCACATTGTATCGTAAGATATGTAACGTTTCGGAAACTTTTAAACGTCTTTCATTTTTATTATGAAAACCTTTAAAAAATCGGCATATTTTATGCGTTTCTATCTATTAACGTGATTGCATCCAAAAACACGTTAAACATGATTACATCTTTTAAGTTTTAAGTACGTTTGTAGTCATACAATTACCGCTCCTATGACGTTCGTTCGTCGAGATAAGTTCGTTCGTCAATATCCTGGTCATATATGTGCATATGTATGTATTGACGCCTATGTCCGGTGAAGGATATAACTCGAAAGTGGTCTATTACGCAGTGTGAAATGGACAAAATGTCTTTTAGGTGTATGATAGATTTTTTTCTTAATAAACCGACATTATATGAAATATAATGCAGTTGCGTCAATTTTCATGGATATTTTCATTTAATGAGTCTATGTTTACATAATGAACTAATTATAATTTGAGAGTATCAGCGACCGTCACTACTAGCAGCAAGAGCCACTTTGGCAATTCGGTCACTACCAAACCTATATATACAAATTATACCATATTATCTCATTCCAAGTTTTAACGTTTGACACAATGCATCAACATTTAGTTTTTGCCAAAGAGACACAAGAAAAATAAAAACATGTCCCATTTGAACAAAGATATTTTCATGAAATCCTGTTTCAAGGACAGAAAATGTTCTTCACATCCGGCTGTGGTATTGAAAATGAACTGAAAACCGGGGGCTGTATTCAGAAACGAACGCAAAGCCATTAATATCGTTTTCCCTTTTCCGATCTAATGTTATATCGACACCTGGATACTGATGACCACCACCGCAAGCATATTTAAATACAACCTAAACAGGTGACTAAATAAAGAAAATCTATCTATAGAAAATGTGTCAGATCAAAAGAAAAATATACATTAAACTGGATTTAAACACTTAAAAGCGCTGTTGTCTGTTTACAAAAGTATTATGGATGAGTCAAATATTTCATAATAAGCATCTCTGAATAACGCCAATATCAGAAGGATTTAGATGCCTCAATTAATCTCACGGATAAAATCACATAAAGGTCACCAAGATCAACACGAAGTCAGCTTTTAAGACTTGCAAACGATGTTTCTCTCATTACTCTGTTTCCTACGCAGTACACTTTTATTTATTCTATATTGAATGTGACATTGTTTCTATATATTTGAATTCTATCCGTTTTGAATTTTCCTTGGAGTTCGGTATTTTTGTTATTTTACTTTTTGACCCGACATGACACTTCCAGGCTTATGGAGGTAGAACTTTATTGTGGGAAAACTATATATATATACGTTATGTAAATCTTCGTATCAGGACATACTCATTTATTTCTAAACTGAATTTATGTTTCGGATCCTTTTACATTGCTTATGAAATTTATATTATTTACAACTGTAATAAAAGCGAACGAACTAATCATAAACGACAAAGCAAAGATGGAACTTCTGTATATTTTACCATTCAAAATATCTGTTTCAGAAACATGATTTTTTTTAAAAAGAACTTTTTTCTACCGTATGCTTTGGTGCATTGTAAATCACATTTTCTAATGAATATTTTGTATACGCATATTTTCTTATAATTAATCAACCTCACTGTGTATTCAATTTAACATGTATGTAACTTAGTAATAGACAATGATAATGTAAAATCTTTACACTTTCCATACAGTCTTACGATTTTAAGGGTTACCAGTATTGTATTTGAATATAAGATTAACTTTTTTTCGAGTATTTCATTTTATTATAATACTTTTTGGCAATCTTTTATACTAAAGTTTTTCATTTGTTTTAATATTTGTCTTTTTAATCTGAAGAGTTACGTCCTTTTTGACTAATTTTTATAGTTTGTTCTTATGTTGTACTATTGCACTACTGTCACATGTAAGGGGGAGGGTTTGGCACAAGCAAAAATGTTTAGCCTTGGGCTGTTTATATTGTTCTTTGGTCAGATTGTTGTCTCTTTGACACATATTCCCCGTTTCAATTTTCTATTCTATGTTTAACCCCGCCACATTCTGTATGTACCTGTCCAAGGTAAGGAGCCTGTGATTCAGTGGTTATCGTTTGTTACTGTATATCATATTTATTTTTCGTTTGTTGTTTTGTATATGAATCATGCCGTTAGTTTTCTCGTTTGAATGTTTTAAATTTGTCATTTTGGGGCCTTTTTTAAGCTGATTATGCGGTATGGATTTCGCTCATTGTTGAAGGTCATATGATGACCTATAATTTTTAACTTCTACGTCATTTGATCAATGGTGGAGAGTGTCTCATTGGCAAACATACCCCTTTTTCTAATTTTTATAAAGTCATAGCCACTTAATACCCCCTCCCATCAATTATTATTTTCAACGCTTTTGTCTACATAAATGTGTCACGAACTGTTAAATATTGAAGGTTTCATAAGAAAACAAGCGTCTTGAAAGGATTTAAAGAGAAAGAAGATGCGATTATCTATACTTTGTACAGTCGGTTAGTATAAAACGATTTACGTGAGTTTATGCGATGTACAATACTCAATGAATAGGTAAACATAAAAGAAGTCGTAAGATAGTTTTGCATGGTAGATTTAAGATAAATTATTAATTTGCTTTTAGTTGGGGATCAGGGATTTTGAATAGGATAGGGTACCATGGCAACGTTAGGAGTGGTAATTGAAAAAAAGTTTATGTATGTACTATATATGTAGCTTCGGTCCAGCCCTCCCATCGTATATCATTTTCAATGCTTTTGCCTACATAAATGCGCCACGAACTGTAAAATATTGAAGGTTCCTTAAGAATACAAGCGTCTTGAAAGGATTTAAAGAGAACAATACTCCAAAAATAAGTAAACATAAAACAATTTGTAAGATAGGTTTGCATGGTAGATTTAAAATATATTAGTAATTTACTTTCAGTTGAGGATCTAGGATTTTGAATAGGGTGGGGTACCATGGCATCTTTAGGAGTAGCATTTGAAAAAAGTTTATGCACTTACTATATATGTAGCTGCGGCTCAGCCACCCCCCCCCCCCCCCCTTCCCAAACAAAAACTTTTAAATAATCCGCATCTGACTTCATTATTTGATGCCCGATAAAATTTATATAAAAATTTTAAGTAAACCAATCATTTTCAAATTTATACCTGTTTTCAGATGATTCCTTCAGTTTCCAAAATTATTGTATTTTATTGAAGCTTAGTCATCTCCAACATCGTATTTGAATACCAATTTCAGATGAATTACATAATACTAATATACAAGCAGTTCTTTGGTCTCTTTCAAAATATATAATTTAAACTTGTAATGAAGTTAGTATTAAATTTGTGAAAGAAATCTTTTAAATTTAAAAAAATATATATCAAGCATGCGAAGCGTAACAGTTTATAAGCAGTAGTTCACAAAATAAAATATTATTTATGCATTTGATACGGTACATTTATAATGATATATTTTAGATTCCATTTAGGAAAATCTAAAGAGCAGAGAATTTGTATTGTTTTAAAATCCATTTAATATGTTAATTCAAATATTGTTTACTTCAAACGAGAACGTAGTTGTCAGCCAAAAAAGAAGCTAAGGTAAAAGTCACAGCCAAGCTAAAGTGTTAATCGTTTTCTTCACAAATACTTCGAAGTGACACCGAAACATTATTCAATTGAATCTTTCTTTGATAAATTTTATACTAACTTCATTACAACAAGTCAAAATTACATTTTTCGAAAGAGAGCAAAGAACTGTTTGTATTGTAGTAAATTGAATTCATTTGAAATTAATTTGTATTCAAATACGCTGTTCGAGGTTACTAAGCGCCAATTAAATACAATAATTTTGTATTTTATAGATTAGTGCATTCGATGATATGTCGTCATCGATTACAGTATTATTATGCCGATATTTAAAATGATTCATTTTATTGTTATTACAAAAAATAGGTCATTATAACATGACAGAGTGTTTTGTTTCAGTATGTGCTGGATGAATATGCATAAAGTCAATTTAAGACAATGTACCCCCAAAAGCCTAGAAATCTCGTGGCTAGTCACATATAGTCCATCACTGGTTAATGAGTTTTTAGTCTTAAACGGTCATGTTGATTATAACATCATCTGAAAAAGTCTAAACAATGAACTATTCCTTAAGTCTATTTCAAGACTTATCTGCTGTTCAGACAATTCCCTTGCTGTCAATTTAGTACTGTTCAGTAGCTTTTCAGACAATTCAGTTTGATGTTAAAGTACACTGGTAAATAACAACTTCTGAACAGTCTGAACATAGAAAGAATAGATCTGAATGTTCTGAAGGAAATTTTCTGAACAGTAATGAATTTGCCACAGAAGATAAGTCTTAGAATAGACCGAATGACATACAATTGCTAAATACATGTAATAGTTGTTGATGTGCTAACAGCTTCATATTTTGACGACCAACTCATACACTACCTCTGACTTAAATGGTGTATTACGTTTGACTTTTTACTGGTGACGTTAGCTTATTTTTTTTTACATATATATTTGTGATAATTTTAACAATTATTCATTCTATGTTGCTACAAAGTTACAAAGTACAGTTTACGAAAACTAAGGATTTTCTTATCCCAGGAATAGATTACCTTAGCCGTATTTGGCACAACTTTTTGGAATTTTGGGTCCTCAATGCTCTTCAACTTTGTACTTGTTTGGCTTTATAACTATTTTGATCTGAGCGTCACTGATGAGTCTTATGTAGACGAAACGCGCGTCCAGCGTATTAAATTATAATCCTGGTACCTTTGATAACTATTTACGTACTTTAAGCGAAATTGCAAGATCAGAAGATATTTTGTTTAACATGTTTAAAATGAAAATGTTTCTACAATAATTTTTTCTTATTTTTCTTTAAAGTTATCACTGCATCTGTTTCATGACAACGTCAAACTTCATCAAAAAGAATTATTGAATCTTAAAAAATTGACATCATATTAGTTCAGTTCAATTTCTCATACATATTTCATTCTATTTCACACAATTAAAACTAATTAACTTAAAGGTATTTCAACTAAGATGAAGTTAGGAAGAACGACGGAAATCACACTACCTATAGTATACAGTAACTATCAGGAATCGGTTTACCGATATTATATGTCAGGTGTCTTAACTCACTAGCGATATGTTTTCGCGGTCTGAGAACTAAACTGTAATTTTTTCGATTGTGTACCAATTTTCGACATTTTGACTAAATGTGATTGGCATGACATGGGATGCATACATGAAAAAAGACACTCACCTTGTCTGTACATACGCTCTGGCAACGTTGGGAATTGGTGATTCCCTTAGTTTTTGTGTGTTACCTTGATTTGTCTTCTTAGTCGAAAACGGGATTTAAACATCGGTAAAGAACTGTCCCCTTTCATCAGAAATCGTCATATGTAATTTTAGTGTTCATAGTAATTAACGTTGATTCATCAATACAAAATTTTACATAATGTTTTCTTTAGAAATTTACCATCTTTAATGTATTGATTGGTTTGCTTTTCAGTTATTCAATCAAGATGAAGAATGCAAGCTGTTTTCTTTTTGCTGTCCTTGTGGTGTGTGCTAAACTAGTAAATACATCATGTCCGTACACTTGTTCTTGTAGTAACTCAACATCAGGGTTTTCTGTAAACTGTAATTTCAAATCTTTTGAACATATTCCAGTCTTACCAAACGATACGTACTACCTGTAAGTATATACAGCTGGTTTATTAAGAACTTTGTACTTCATTTTTATATTTAAGATAAGCATTAGTATATACAGCTGGTTCATTTAGAACTTTTTACGTCACTTTTATATTCAAAATATGCATAATACTATATTGCAAAAAATTGAAAACTAGAAAACTATATTTGTTACAAGTTCATGTATTAACATGTGGCTTCAGGAGAACGAATATTCTCAAAAGGACGTCTTTAATGTTTGTTAATTAAAACACAAACCATGCAGATTTTTGTCATTAATATATCATAAATTTGATACTGGTTATTCTCAATCATTTTACTTTGTTTAAGGAATTTTGCGTACAACAGCATACAAGACATTGATGTTCAGTTTTGTAAAGAGATGCCACTTTTACAAAACATGTGAGTTGATTTTTAAAATTTTGCATTGAATCAGTTTATAATGATTCTTCCAATATTACTTATACAATACATCGTTTAAAAAAAATAAAATTAGTTGACATATTGTTCTGCACGTATTTTGATTAGAATAAAAAAAGACCAAGATGACAAAAAATCAAAAAGGCAATTCCAAATTTTTGATCAGAGAGGAACAGATATTATGAAAAAAAGGTTCAATGAATTAACATTAATCGATGAAACAAATCTCGACTACTTTAAAACAAGCGAATACTACAGAAATTGACAGTTCAGATTCAATGAATAACCATTAATCGATGAAACAAATCTCGACTACTTAAAAAAACAAGCGAATACTACAGAAATTGACAGTTCAGATTAGTCGTTCTTGCTCTCGAGCGACACTGGTCATGCAGTTCGTTACAAGTAAAAAACCAGAAATAAAAAATAAAATGTCAATACATATACGAAGAAGAAAAATGGGTTATCCGCAAAATATACACATTTGTTGAGGCCTTTGTGACATGATGGTCAACCACATTGTGAAGCCTGAAAAAGATTGAGGACAAAATTCCGTTTTTTTCTCTAAAGGTACGAAAATAGCGTCATCTACATAATAACCTTACCGTATGGACCGCAAAATCAACGTAGGCATTGATATAAACGAAAGACAGAAAAATCAAAACATATGACATTGATAGACAAAAGGTATATTTTCTGTAGAAAATATTATAAGATTTGACGCTATGGTAAAATATCGATTTTTGTTACTATTGAAATATCTTTATTTTTTTTAACATTTTCACCAGCAATATCCATAACAATTTGATTCAAGAAATTCCGGATGAAACCTTCACAGACTGTCACCAGTTAATCACACTGTAAGTATATCACATTAAAACGACATTTTCAAAAGGATTATGACAAAATCATAATGCACTCAGAAATCATCAAAGGAAAAAGATTTAACAACATCATCAATAAAACTCTTTTATATTTCTAAAACTTCAGATAATTAAATCTTATTACGGATGAACGTTGATTTCGGATTAGTTTATTTAAAATCCGGTCAATAGTCACCATTCTCCGACAATTCTAGAAGGATTAAATAAATGACAGAAAAAGGAAAAAAGGACGAGACGTTCTGTGACATTCGAAAATTTTGACCTGACATCCGATCAGACAATAGTTTTAATATGACAAAGGCACAAAAACATTACAGTATGTTCAAAAGCTAGTAAATACATTTGTCTTTTAAAATACAACTGTAATGTAAGAAATGTAATGATGCTATGTGAACAAATTTATCGGTTTCCAAGAGCTTATTGACAGCGCGTTATCCCGACAATGGCTTCCAATTTTGCGATTGAAAAAAATAGGTGGCGTAGTTGAGTACTAATTTTGATGAAGTAGAATCCTGACTGTAATCCTCCCTCTTGTTTGACAATTGTGTAAAGTTCCGTAATAAAACAACTAAATACAAAAAAGTAAAAAAAATGTGCAGAAATGCTGCCGATAGCGTATTGATATCAATTTGTAGAAAGCAAACCGTATTCTGTTTTGCGCAAACTCAACGAAATACGATTATTCCATTATTTTGATCTTTGACTCTGTCAATACTTACAAATCCAGGTTTATTTATGTTACATTTCCTTTTAATTGTGTCTGTGATATCTGTTAGATAAAGTCTTGAATGATAGATGAGATATTAATGGTTAGCATTTGTTTTAATTTAATGCCTGGTAAACATGGGCCAAATAACTGTGTTCATCAAATGACAATCAATCATAGAATAATTAAATACATTCTATAGTACTATACTTTAATATTACAGTAATCTTCACAACAACAGAATCACAGATATACCTCGAGATACTTTCAGTAACTTATCACAGTTACAGACACTGTATGTATTTACCTACATTAAATTCATGGTATTGCAATTTCACTGTCGTTACTAATCCATTAACGCGTCTTTTTTTAATTAAAAATGCAAGATACAGCAACCAAATATATAAAGTCAGTAGACAGCAGGCTATTACCAGTAATTAACGCATATATCAAAAGCTTGGAAGTCAGCCATGCGTCTACTTCAAATGGACCTTTTTTGGTCCTAATATTTTGTCATAAGCATTGTTTTAGTTATTAGAAGTTGAAGTGTTTTAATCTTTTACTTATATTTCAATCTCGAGTTGTCCATCAGCCATTATTGTTGGATATAACAAGTTTACCATTCATTAAGAAACGTTACCCATGTTGATAACATTCACAGAATAATATTTTTTTCTTCTTTGTCGCGTTTTTATAAAATAAATTGCGCATTGTGTAAAATTTTATCAAAGAAAAGAATACACAGTTCATTATATTTAACTAATTGAATATCACTCATTTTCGTGTAACTTTCGATAATTTATTGTTCCCTTTAATAAAGGCATTTATAACAATTTTATTTCGTTATAATGTACCGTTTTAAATTATATTTACATACAAAAAAGGAGACCTGAACAAAACATTATGTTGTATTAAGGTTTTCTATTTATCAAGTCTAAGAGTAACACTCCCGTTTGTTATGTAGAATTTCCTCGATGTCTAGACAGAGTGAAAATTATAAAAAAAAAAGAAAAAAAAAAAAACGATAAGAGGACTGTTCAAACGTCCTTTAACAGTCAAATTTGTCATTCAGTTACCATAAGCATAATTTCAAAAGAGACAAACATTAGTATTCACATGATTAAACGTTTCATCCACTAAGTAAATTGAATTTATTGTATATATTGCCTATGCTTTATTATGACTGTTAAACAATTGGTTGTCGGAATAACGGCTGAAATGAACACTACATAAGTTAGCGATCACTACTTGGTGGTCACAATCCCTAATTGGACCGATACGAAATGTGTTTCACAATTTTATGTCGGAGGCAGATTGGCGTCAGATCGGTATTTCTACCTATTGTGTCATAATCGACACGTTGACCGACTGTGGGTTTTTATAGCGGGTGATTAGGGTATTAAAGGGGCACTTACTCTGTCGATGCACCAGATTTGTCTCCTTTTAGATTTCGTCTTGGTCAATTTATGGGATTTGAACATCGATTACATCGATAACTGCTATTTCCTCAGAGTTCGGTATTTTTGTTATTTTACTTTTTGCATATACATGTATTCATATATTCTAGATATTTTTATAACAACAAGAAACAGTCTATAGAGAGTAATACGTTCGTCAACATGACAAATTTGTATAATCTGTAATTAACGAGGTCATTTTCGATTTTTTTTTATATAAAATGCATTCTGTGAAACCTACAAATGTAGCAGGTTTAAACGTTTTAATAGGCGCCAACCTTCACTCTGCCCTGAAACAATTGTGTAACATCACAACATAGAAAGACACATTGTAAAATATCAATTGCTTAACTCAATCAAAAGACATATTAACAAAAACAAGTGAACATACACTGAACGAATAAATTTGATCTATGACACAATGTAAAAACAAAATAAATAAAACAAGGGGGTTAGATGTAAAACAATATCAGAAAGACAAACATTGCATATATCTATATATTCCAGATATCTTTATAACAACAAGATACAGTCTATAGAGAGTTATACGTTCGTCAACATGACAAATTTGAATCGTCTGTGAGTATCGAAGTCCTTTCGATATTTTTGGATATAAAATGCAATCGATGAAACCTAGTGGAGAGTCCAATTAACGCAGACTAAATATTAAAAATAAGTCAAATTGTTCAAGTTGTTTAACAGCGAATTTAGATAAAAAGTTCATGAGGCACTATCATATGATATTGATTGAACTCTAATATTGATTCAAAGCAACAGATCAGTGCATAGTTTATCAGTAATAAAATGAAAAGCAGTTCAACAGTTAAGGTCATATTAAATAAATGTTAAATCAGGAAAAGGCTTACTTCCTCAAAATGTATGATGTTTTGGGATTTGACATTCTTCGTGTATTGTCTCTATTTTTTGTAGTTCTGTAAAAAGGCTGTCTTTAGAATTTTCTTTTAAAAAAAACCCGAAGAATAGTTGCGTTCTTATGAAACATGATGAGGCTAATAAATTGCATCAGTGTCTATTTATTTGTCAGCTGTTATATATACTTACTTTAATTAATTGGTCTAACAAGCGCCTTTCAAGAATAATATTTATCTTTTAAGGTCTCTCTACAGCAATGAAATATCTACAATAAAACAATCAGCTTTTATGAATCTACCAAGCCTTCAATATTTGTACGTATATTTTTGCTATGCAATGACAAATAAAAAATTGTAGAAAAACCTTAGTTCGAATAACACAATAAAAAAACGTTTTAAACGTATCGTTATGTTGTTATCTGGCAGCCCACCCTTCCAGTCAGAGAACTTTACAGAATATATTTAATTTCTTTCTCTCGTTTTTGTTTTTATAAATTGCATATATTGTAAAATTTTAGCACATAAATTGATACGCAGTTCATTTTTACTGAAACAATCACATATACGCGACACCTTAAACCTTTAGCGACATTATCTTTCAAGCATATATTTCATAGTATACAAAAAAACTAAGAATTAAATGAATCCATGCATAGAGTAATGCTTGTTTCAAACTGTTTACTTTACAGATCTTTGAAAACTTCACACATGCAACTTATTGAAAATCACTCCTTTTCTTGATAATTTTCAATAACTTATTGTTTACATTAATAAAAGCATTGATAACAATCGATGATATTTCCTTATTAATGTTTTAAATTATATGTACATTAAAAAAAAGGAGAAAGGAGGCCTTAATTACAAAACATTATGTTTTATTAAGGTTTTTTTTTAATCAAGTCGAAGAGTAACACTCTTGTGTGTTATGTAGAAACACTCGATCGTAATTCATATGTTCAAACATGCATTGATAATATTATGTTTGTTCACATAACACAATAACACAATATATCGGAAACGTTATCGTTCATCTTGCTTTAAATTTACAATATTTCATAGATTATATCGATAGAATAATACAGTGCCTGTTTAATCTTACTGATGTCTAGGTAAAGTAAAAATTATAGCAAAGTGACCATGCACCAATTTTCAAACGAAACACATCCCTATTATCACGATAAAACACGATAATAAAACAGTTTCGTCAATTGGCACTCGACAAATAAAATGTATTATGTATATTGCCTTATTGTATATATTATTACGGTTGAATAATTAGTGGTCGAACTGAAAATGACACTATATAAGACCGCGGTCACCACTTGATGTTCACAACCAAGAATTGGACCAATACGATAAGTCTTTTACTCAACACATTAACGATATATTTTCGCATTTTTATGCCCTTAGATATCAGAATAGTCGTCAGGTCTGAACGTCTACCTATCGTGTCATATTCCAGAGAGCAATATGTTGACTAAATGTGAATTCACAAAGCGGGTGATGCATGCATTGTAGGAGACGCTTACACTGTAGATATACCAGCTTTTGCTCATTTGGATATCTTCCCGGTTGATTCATTATATTTGAACATTGATAACTGCTATTGCATATATTTTTATATTCCAGATATCTCTATAACAACAAGATTCGGTCTATAGAGAGTAATACGTTCGTCAATATGACAAATTTGTATGAGCTGTAAGTCAAGTCGATTTCTTTGGATATAAAATGCATTACATGAAACCCAGTTTGCGTCCAATAAATGAAGACTAAATGGAAGATGAAACTTTGAAAAAAGTCCACTTGTTAAAGTTATTCAACACTGAATTTAGAAAAACAGTTCATGAGGCATCGCCATTTTCATATAATATTGATTAAACGCTCGTATTGATTCATAGCAACACATCATCGTCTAGTTTATCAGCGATAAAGTGTAAAGAAATTCAAATGTCAAAGTAAAAAATCATTAGATGTTAAATCAGGAAAGACCTTACTTCGTCAAAATTTTTGATACAGCCCTTGGATGGTGTAAACTTCCCAAAAAAACATGTATGGTGTAATGGTGAATGGTGCAATGATAGAAAGTGTAGGGTGCTATGGTGTATGGTGTAAGGGGAATGGTGTAATGGTGTAACATGCGATAGTGAATGGTGTGAATGAATAGTGTACGACATTTAAAACTATGCAAAATATTGATAAGAACTAATTTCTAATTTTATACATTAATTTACAATATTGTGATCAAAATTCGTTTTCTTAAAATAAATAAATAATTATGTATTCGCACGCTTTCTTTGAAATTAAATTGCATTATGGTGTAATGTGTAAGGTGTATGGTGCAAAGGTGTAACGTGTATGGTGTAATGGCACAGGGTGTATGGTGTAATGGTGTATGGTGAATGGTGTAATGGTGTATGGTGTTAGTGGGAAGTTTACACCATCCAAGGACTGTATTTGTCATTCGTCTTGTATTTTCTCTTTTTTAGTAGTTCTGTAACCTGCCCGTCGATAGCGTTTTCTTCCACTTATTCATCCTGCCATTGTGTTATTGTGCTATGGTCAATTTTGAGTTCTTGTCTTTCATATTTGCTGATGTACTTTGGCTATATGCCATTTTGTGTCTCTTTGGTGAAACAATTATTTGTTTTATAGTGATTAAGATTATGTTACAACGTTTACATCTGTTGTTTTTTTTTGGTTTTTTTTACCTATTATGTCTGTTTGTTTTGCTCACACATTGTTGTCAATATAATGAAATTTTATGCGACTGTCATACAAGTGAAAGTTTAAGTTAGCTATAAAACCAGGTTTAATCCACATAACAACATAAGGAAATGCCTGTACAAAGTCAGGAATATGACAGTTGTTTTCCATTCGTTAGAAGTGTGTGAGCTTTTGATTTTGTCATTTTATAAAGGACTTTCCGTTTTGAATTTCCCTTTGAGTTCGGAATTTTTGTTATTTTACTTATTTACAAAAGCTTGGAGACTGGCTGAGTTCTTAAGAAAGAAGCGGAAGTTTAAACATTGCATCACTGTTTGAATACTTGACAGCTATTAAGTATGCTTACTTAATTTAAAGGACTGTCAAGCTCATTTCAAGATTAATTTATCTTTTAAGGAATCTCCACAACAATGAAATACCTACAATAAAACAGTTGGCTTTTATGAATCTACAAAACCTTCAATACCTGTACGTATATTGTATAAATAATGCTACTGAATCTGAAGCTTATGCAACGATAGATAAAAAAAGGAAGAAATACTTTGAATTCGAATAACACTATACAAAAAAGGTTTTAAACGTATCGTTATGTCGTTATCTGCTCACCCTTCCAGAGAACTTTACAGAATATGTTTGTCTTCTTTCTCTCGTTTATGTTTTTATAAATTGCAAATATTGTAAAATTGTAGCACAGAAATTAATACACAGCTAATTTTTTAGTGAACCAATCACATACATGCTACACCTTACAACCTCTAGCGACTGTATATTTCAAACAATTAAAAAGTAAACAAAATACTAAGGATTATATGCATACGTGCGTATAGTAATGTTTGTTTCAAAATGTTTACTTTACAGATCTTTAAAAACTTCACAAATTCAACAAATTGAAAATCACTCCTTTTCTTGATCATTAATTTATTCTTTCAAATACATTTATAAAGACATTGATAACAATCAACGATATTTCCTTATTATGTACTGTTTTAGATTATATTTACATTTGAAAAAAGGAGAAAAGGAGGCCTGAAGTTCAAAACATTATGTTGTATTAAGGTTTTTTATTAATCAAGTCGAAGAGTAACACTCTTGTGTGTTATGTAGAATATCCTCGATCGTAATACATATGTTCAAACACGCATTGGTAATATTATTTTTGTTCACATTTAAGGAATGACTGTAATATTTTTTTCTGTCTATGAAGAAAAAACATCAAAAATATGTTTCACACTGAATAATCCGCGTAGCGGGTTATTCAAAAGTCATTCCTTATAATTTACAGTCATTTCTTATAATTTACAGTCATTCCTTATAATTTAATTCTTAATTCCATTTTAAAGGAGTAAATTTTGAAAACAACTTTGGTGACGTCACGTCCACATCACAAAATTATGTCTATGAGTTGATAGACAAAACACTTTCAGCCAATCAGAAGACGCGTTGTATCCAACATTAAATTATAACACAATAACACAATATTAGAAACGTTATCGTTCATATTGCTAAACATTACAATATTTCATAGTTTATATCTATATAATATAACAGAGTCTGTTTAATCTTACCGATGGCTAGATAGAGTAAAAATTATAACAAAATGAGACTCTTCAAACATTCTTCCACAGTCAACTTTGTCATTTAGTAATCTTACACTAATTTTCAAACGAAACACACATCCCTATTAACACGATAAAACTTGTTATGTTCGTCAATTGACACTTGACAAATTGAATGTATATTGGCTATGCTATATTATTACGGTTGAATAATTGGTAGTCGAACTGAAAATGACACTACATAAGTCAGCCGTTACCACTTGTTGGTCACCATTATGAATTGTACCGAACGTTGTCTTAACACATGAACAATATATTTTCGCATTTTTATGCCCTTAAATATCAGAATAGTCGTCAGATTTGAAATTCTATCTATCGTGTCATAATCCAGAGAGCAACATTTTGACTGAATGTGTATTCACATAGCGGCTTTTGCTAATTTTGGATTTCTTTTCATTCGATTCATGAGATTTGAACATCGATAACTGCTATTGCATTTATATATATATTCTAGATATTTCCATAACAACAAGATACAGTCTATAGAGAGTAATACTTTCGTCAACATGACAAATTTGTATTATCTGTAAGCAACGAAGTAATTTCGATTCCTTTGGTTATAAAATGCATTAGATGAAACCCAGTTTGGCGTCCAATTAACGAAGACTAACTGATAGATGGATTTTAGAAAAATAAGTCTATATTTGTTTTAGTTATTCTATAGTGAATTTAGAAAAAAATGTTCACAAGACATCGGTATTTTCATATGATATTGAATAAACCCTCGTGTTGATTCAAAGCAACACATCATCGTCAAGCTTATCAGCGATAAAGGGTAAAGCAATTATAATGTCCAGGTAAAAATCATTAAATGTTAAATCAGGAAACAGCTTACTTCATCAAAATTTCTGATATGTTTCGCATTTGTCATTCGTCTTGTGTTTTCTCTATTTTTGTAGTTTCTTAACCAGGCCGTCGATATCTTTTTCTTCCAAAATATGGAAGACAGGCTGAGTTCTTAAGAAAAAAATCTGAAGTTTAAAAATTACATCAATGTCGTTATACTTAACAGCTAGTTATTAAACGGACTAACAGGCGCCTTTCAATATTGATTTATCTTTTAAGGAATCTCCAAAACAATGAAATATCTACAATAAATGAGTTGGCTTTTGTGAATCTACCAAGCCTTCGATACCTGTACGTATATTGTATAAATACTGCTCCTGAATTAAATCTGAAGCTTCTTGCAATGATAGATAAAAAAGGTAGAAAAACTTTCAATTCGAATAACGCTATACAAAGAGGTTTTAAATTTATCGTTCTGTCGTTATGTGCTCACCCTTCCAAAAACTTTATAGAATATTTTTTTCTTCTTTTTCTCATTTAATATTTTTATAAATTGTGTATAGGTAAATTCCAGCACAGAAAGGAATACACAGTTCATTTTTAAAACAACCATCTACAAGAGACACTTTGAAGACTTTAAAATCAATCGAGAATTATAAGAATCCCTGCGTATAGTCATGATTGGTTCAAAAGTTAACTTTACAGATCTTTGAAAGATTCATTATTTATCTAATTGAAGATCCCTCATTTTCTTGATCACTTTCAATAATTTATTGTTTACATTTATAAAGGCATTTATAACAATTATGTTCCTTTATAATGTACTGTTTTAAACTATATTTACATTTGAAAAATATATGAAAGGAGGCCTTAAAAAACATTATGTTGCATGAAGGTTTTCTATTAAACGAAAGTAACAATTCTGCATGTTATGTAGAATATCATCGATCGAAATGCATGCTCAAACACTTATTGGTAATATTATGCTAGTTCATATAATACTATAACACAATATCGGAAATGATGTCGTTCGAATTGCTTGAAATTCACAACATTTCATAAGTCATATCTATAGAATGCTACAGACTCTGTTTTATCTTACTGATGTCTAGATAGAGTGAAAATTATAACAAGATAAGAGACAAAAAAGGTTCCTAACTTCCTTTCACAGTCAACTCGGTCACCATATACATATTGTCAAAAAAGACAGACATAATTATTAACACGATAAAACTTGTTACGTTTCATCCATTAGCACTAAACACATTGAGTGTATTGAGTATGTTGCATATGCTAAATATTATTACGCTTAAATAATTGGCGGTCGGAAACATTACCGAAATTGACATTATATAAGTAAGTGGTCACCACTAAATGGTCACCATCACAAATTGGATCGATACAACATTGTTTTGCAGTTTTAAGTCCTTTGTAGAATAGTCGTCAGATGTGTAATTCTACCGATTAATGTCATATTACAGAATGTAGCATTTTGGCAAAATCTGTATTAACATAGCAGGTGATGCGTGCATTACAGAAGACGCTTACTATGTCGATGAACCAAATTTTGCTGCTTTTAGATTTCATCTTGGTCGATTTATGAGATTTAAACATCGATAACTGCTATTGCAAATATTTACATATTCTAGATATCTTCATGACAACAAGATACGAGCTATAGAGAGTAATACGTTCGTCAACATGACAAATTTGTATGAGCTGTAAGTAACGTAGCCATTTCGATTTCTTTGGATATAAAATACATAAGATAAAATCCAGTTTGGCGTCCATTAACGTAGACTTAATGTAGCATTAATCTTGGAAATAAGTCAGCTTGTTCAAGTTGTTCAACGCTGAATTTAGAAAAAAAAATTTATGAGGCATCGCCGTTTTCATAATCGATTCAAAGCAACACATTGGTGTCTAGTTTATTAACGATAGAGTGTATATCAGCTCAACAGTGAAGATCAATATCATTAAATGTTAAATCAGGAAAGAGCATAATTCAAAAACATTTATAACATTATTGACATTTCACATTCCTCTTTTGTTTTTCCTGTTTTTGTTAGTTTTGTATGGCCGTCGATGGATTTTTAATTAAAAAAAAAGATAAGGCTGACAAATTGCATCAATATCTGTATACGTGAGAGTTGTTAAATATGCTAGCTTTATCTTATTTGACAGACAGGTGCCTTTCAAGAATATTTTATCTTTTAAGGTATATCCTCAACAATGAAATATCTTCAATAAAACAGATGGCTTTTATAAATCTACCAAGACTTCGATACCTGTAAGTATATCTTATATATTGCTACTTAATCAAAGCTTAAGCTTCTTGCAATGATTAATACAAATTAGTAGAAGATCTTTAAATTCGATTAAAGCTAGACTAAAAAGGTTTTCAACGTATTGTAATGTTGTTATCTGCTCACCCTTTCGGAGATGCCGCTTTTGGTAAGGTTCTTATTGCTAAGTGTATATAGTTTTCCATTTAGTGTTTTGTGGGCTTGTTTGTCATTTCATCGTTTCTTATGTTTTGCCACGGCTATATTTTTAATGGAAAGTAATAATAACCTAGTTGTTTAACATGTATTTGTTTCCTGGTCAAACGCGTATACACCAAGTATACATTTGATGTTCATGTCGATGAATTTAAACATATCTTTGACTTATCAAACAGGAATTAAGTACTATTTAGACAAAAACAAACCACAAAATATGATTTTTGTTTCCAAAAATATATTGAAACAGCATTCCGCTATTAGCAGCCAGCTTAGTTTTATTTTGTCATCAGTATCGCAAAAACGTCGCTTATGTATTATTTACTTATCAGTGAATAATTCCACCGCATTCGAAATCGTGTTCATATGACGTTTGATTAAATTACTGTTGGAGATGCGTTGTGCATGTGCTGAACATGCACAGATATTGAAACGAAAATTAGATGAAAATGTAAAACTAGGGAAGGCAGAAGAAAGATGGCGGAAGGAAGAAGATCGATCTCGTTGATTGATTTGACCCTCAAAGAAACAGTCGTATACAGATTATATGTAAATGATTTTAAAATATGTATTCTTATCTATGAAATCGTATTGAAAAGAAGTAAGAAAATGATTATGAGACTGTTGCCAAGGTAAAAATGATTAAATATTAAATCAGGAAACAGCTTACTTCATCAAAATTTCTGATATGATTCGCATTTGTCATTCGTCTTGCGTTTTCTCTATTTTTGTAGTTCCTTAACCAGGCCGTCGATAGCTTTTTCATTCAAAATATATAAGACAGGCTGAGTTCTTAAGAACAAAATCTGAAGTTTAAAAATTGCATCAATGTCGCTATACTTGACAGCTATCAAATATCCTTACTTTAATTTAACGGACTGAAAGGCGCCTTTCAAGATTAATTTATCTTTTAAGGAATCTCCGAAACAATGAAATATCTACAATAAATGAGTTGACTTTTGTGAATCTACCAAGCCTTCGATACCTGTACGTATATTGTATAAATACTGCTACTGAATTAAATCTGAAGCTTCTTGCAATGAAAGATGAAAAAAAGGTAGAAAAACTTTCAATTCGAATAACGCTATACAAAGAGGTTTTTAATTTATCGTTCCGTCGTTATGTGCTCATCCTTCCAAAAAAATTTATAAAATATGTTTTTCTTCTTTTTCTCATTTATTATTTTTATAAATTGCGTATAGGTAAATTTCAGTACAGAAAAGAATACACAGTTCATTATTAAAACAACCATCTACAAGAGACACCTTAAGCCTTTACTTTAAAGCTTTTAGCGACTTTATCTTTCAAACAATAATCGACAGTAAAAAAAAAACATTAAGAATTATATGAATTTGTGCGTATAGTAATGCTTGATTCAAACAGTTTACTTTACAGATCTTTGAAAGTTTCATATATTCAACTAATTGAAGTTCCCTCATTTTCTTGATCACTTTCAATAATTTATTGTTTCCATCTATAAAGGCATTGATAACAAAACAAACTTCCTTTCACAGTCAACTCGGTGACTATAAACATATTGTCAAAAGAGACAGACATAATTATTAACACGATAAAACTTGCTACGTTTCATCCATTAGCACTAAATAACTTGAGTGTATTGAGTATGTTGCCTATGCTATATATTATTACGGTTAAATAATTGGCGGTCGGAAAAACGACCGAAATCGACACTACATAAGTTAGCGGTTACCATCACAAATTGGACCGATACAACATGGCTTTTCAGTTTTATGTCCTTGGTAGAATTGTCGTCAGATCTGTAATTCTACCGATTATGTCATATTACAGAATGTAGCATTTTGACAAATCTGTATTCACATAGCTGGTGATGCGTGCATTACAGAAGACGCTTGCTTACTATGTCGATTGCCCAGATTTTACTCCTTTATGATTTCTTCTTTGTCGATTTTTGAGGTTTAAAAATCGATAACTGCTATTGCAAATATTTACTTATTCCAGATATCTTCATTACAACAAGATACGGGCTATAGAGAGTAATACGTTCATCAACATAACAAATTTGTATGAACTGTAAGTAACATAATCATTTAGATTCCTTTGGATATATAATGCATAAGATAAAATCCAGTTTGGCGTCCATTAACGTAGACTTAATGTAGCATGAGTCTTGGAAATAAGCCAGCTTGTTCAAGTTGTTCAACACTGAATTTAGAAAAAAATTTCATGAGGCATCGCCGTTTTCATATAATATTGATTGAACTCTTTATATTGATTCAAAGCAACACATTGGCGTCTAGTTTATTAACGATAAAGTGTATATCAGCTCAACAGTGAAGATCAGTATCATAAAAAAGTTAAACAGGAAAAAACTTATTTCATAAAGATTTATAACATTGTTGACATTTGACATTCCTCTTTTGTTTTCTCTCTTTTTTTAGTTCTGTATGGCCGTCCAATTTGTTTTAGTTTCAAAAAAAAGACAAAAAAAAAATAAGGCTGACAAACTGCATCAATATCTGTATAAATGACAGTTGTTAAATATGCTAACTTTTTCTTATTTGACTGACAGTTGCCTTTCAAAAATATTTTGTCTTTTAACGTATCTCTACAACAATGAAATATCTACAATAAAACAATTAGCTTTTATAAATCTATCAATCCTTCGATACCTGTAAGTATATCTTATATATTGCTACTTAATCAAAGCTGAAGCTTCTTGCAATGATAAATAAAAATTAGTAGAAGATATTTAAATTCAAAAAAATGCTAAACAAAAAAGGGTTTTCAACGTATTGTAATGTTGTTATCTGCTAACCCTGTTCGTAGAATTCGCTTTTGGTGAAGTTGTTGATGCTGTAGGTTTTCATCTAGTGTTTTGTGGACTTGTTTTTCATTTTATCGTTTCTTATGTTTTGCCACGTCTTTATTTTTATTTGTATGTAATCATAACCTGGTTGTATTCATTTGTTATAATATTCTTGGTCTTTCATACCACTTCGTTAAATCATTGAAAAAGGGAGGTCTTAGGATTTTGAGATAATATTTCGAAATTATTACACAGAATATGGTATAGATAACACTCAATTTTACTTGTCAAACGCATATACACCAAGTATACATTTGATGTTCGTCTCGATGAAATTACCCATATCTTAGACTATATCAAACGGGCATTACATACGATTAAAAAAAACCCAACAAAATATGATTTTACTTCGTTCAAAAATATTGTTACACTATTCTGCTATTAGCAGTCGGCTTTGTTTAATTTTGTCATCATAATCGGAAAAACATCGCTTATGTATTATTTGTTTATCAGTCAATAATTCAACCTCATTCGGATCGTATTCACATGATGTTTGATTAAATCATTTTTGGAAATGGGTTGTGCACGTGCTGAATATGCATAGATATTTAAACGAAAATCAGATGAAAATGTGAAACTAGGGAAGGCAGAAGAAGGAAGGCTGAACGACGAAGACCGATTTCGTTGATTGATTTGACCCTCTAAGGTTAGATTGGAAAACAAAAGTCATCTAAGTTTTTAATGGACATTTGAAAATTGCTCATCAGTAATGAGAACGCACTTATATTGCTGTTATTCATAGCAAAGGCACAGCGAGGTAGTTAACACATTACAAGGGGTGACATGTAAACGAACAGTCAAAAACAAACGTTTAAGCTGAAGTGTCCGCTAACGTCACTAAGCCTATATCTGTTCGTTGAAAAACATGGTTTTGGGAGATCAGTATCACATGTACAGACTGTAACGCGCAAAGAAATCTTACTAAAACGGCAAATCATTGTAAACTTTATACAGTGCATGTTAAAGTTGTCTTGAATTTGGTATGTAGCTGTATGCCCATGTCATGTTTCATCGATTTTCTGTTAACACCTCTCTGAAAGTAAAAAAAATGAATTATTCAATTCAAATCATTATTCTAACTGTTCAACAACAATCCTGATACATTTAAACTAACAAAATATTTTTTTGTTTGTTTACTAGGTACCTACACAACAATGAGCTTACATCAATCGTAGAGTACACATTTGTTAATCTTCCATCACTTTATTATCTGTAAGTTACTTATATTCACGATAACCTATGTAACAGATTCCAAAATTTGTAAACAAAGAAAAATAAATAATCCGATACTAAAAAAACGCAACAGAAGTTGACCAATGCATGTTCAAATCTTGTAAATGAATTGGAAGCATACATATCAGAATAAACAACAAAACCTGAGGAGATCGCATGAACTGCAAAAAGAAAGATACTAGGAGCCTTGTCCTTTGCAATGCATGCATCACATGTCCGGCGAATTTACACTCAGACGAAATATCAGGGAATAAAACACAATCGGTAACATTAATATTATACATTAGACGGTTTTACTGGTATCGAAAAATATAAAACTACAAAAATATATACTAGTATGTCGTTGGTGAGTCAAAAAAACTGACACGTCGTATCGGTCCACTAATTCGGGATGGTGACCATAAAACTTATGAAGTCTTAATTGCTGTCCTTCCTCCTCATTTCTTTGTTGAAAAGAATGTACAAGTTTCGTGTAAAGATACAATAACTGTTACAATAGTGAAGTTGGAAGTGTGTGAACATGTACGAGCGTAACCTATTAAATGAGAAATATAAATGCCATACGATGGAACATGATACCCCTGCGAAATGGAAAGTCGACAAATGAAAAGTTGCATTCAACACGTTTGACAATGACTCTAGTTTGAAGCCGTCCATCTGCTGCAATGTCGAGGAAAATATTACGATATGAAGCAGAACCTCCTCTTTCAGAATTACAATTACTATCAAGTTCACTAGGATAAAGGAAATATATGCACTCGTTTTGTGGTTAAGCATCAATTCGAAGACTTTTCAACGACGAATGCAACAGTTGATGTACAAAAACAGAATATGCAACGTAATGTAACGTAATAACTTGTATAAATTACAATTTTAAATTATTTTTTCTAGATGTGCTACTGTGATGTCACGAAAACGGCAATTATGTTTGATGAAGCCACATAAAAACAACACATTCCTATGCAGTTCACATAAAGCGTGTTTACATATTGAAAGTTTCGCGTTTAAATTTAAAAAAACACAAAATTATCTTCAGAGGATATATATCGTATCCCTCTCGATGAAGTGGAATGATGTAAAGTTTTATGCTGTTCATAATTCAATAACCCTTATCTCTTTACCGGACATCACAAAGGTTCCCGTAGAATTTTGACGTCACAAATGAAAAGTGATTGTTGTATGACGTCAATAGTTTATGTGTGGCTGATTCCCAGGTCTAGTGTCGAAGATTTCCAAAACGTTACAAGGTCTATGCAATATGGCATCATGTCTTTGTGTTTTCACTGATGCAATGTAATTTATTAGCCACAAACTCTTAAAGGAGATATCCTCGTATTATCAGTTTTCGTTTTCAGAACGCATTTAGAGGTCACAATTTTCATTGAAAAAGCAAGCAAGGTACGAATTCATATGACGTACGAAAACATATGTTCTTACCATATCTGTTTAATATCCTCAATAATTTTCTGGGAAAACATTTACTCAAAAGGAACTAAGTAAGAGTATGAATAGAGCCAGTATTTTACCCCTAAAATGGAAAAATATAGCAAAATTATTCATGCCTTTAAATAGTATATACATCTTATTGATAAATAAACAGATTGATATAATTTGGAAACTTAAGTACAACTAGGTAACTTACGATGTAATATTGATATCATTAAGATCATCATATTTGATAGTATATGGCTATTTCATACATAGAGGACCAAGCAGATATGCATGATATGAGCCAATGCTTATTATAAAACCAATTTGTTCTTTATCAAATACATCGCGTTATTATGCTGTATATTTACAATACAATTTTTATATAACAATTTTTTCATTGGCTATTATTTACCATCTAATCCACGGTTGACATGTCTTAACTAATGAGTGAGCCGCCGTATTGAATTGTTTGGATAAAAAAAAATGTTTGATTACTACAATGTAATCCAAAATAAAGAAAAACCTACCCCAAAACTGCCGTTTTGATGTGATGTAATCCAAAATCAAATCGAAAAAGTAACGTAATAACCTTCAGTTGAAAGTTGTCGTTTGTATGACGTGTATGCGCTAAAATTATTCATGAATTTTTGCGGTCTTCAAGTTCTACCGTATTATCTCTTTTTGTAATGCATTAGTATCGGAATAACAGAACTGTAGTTGAACAGTTGCCGTCGTCAATTGGGATTTAATTGCTGCAAATATCCGTCGCGTCGCGTCGCAAGTAAAAGAGAGGCAAAAGATGCCAGAGGGACATTCAAACTCATAAGTCGAAAATAAACTGACAATGCCATGGCTAAAATGAAACAGACAAACAAACAATCAATAGTACACAAAACACAACATAGAAAACTACAGACTGAGCGGAACGAACCCCACCAAAAACTGGGGGTGATCTCAGGTGCTCCGGTAGGGTAAGCAGATCATGCTCCACATGTGACACCCGTCGTGTTGCTCATGCTAGTACCAACCCGGTAATAAGTCTAATATGGTAAGTCACATTCGTCAAAAGGGGACGGGATTGTAGTTACGACATTAGGAACATATACGCTATCATCTGTGAAACGGATATTTCATAACGGTCAACCAACTCGTGATGGCGTCCGTAAAATTTACGAAGGGATGATTTCAACTTCAACACTTGGAACTCTTGGTTAAATAGCTTCCTTATTAGCAGCAACCCTTTATCAAGGGAATCATGATAGGAAATACAAGCCCTGGAATATCGTATCACCTGGGAGATATATACTCCGTATGCAGGCGCTGCTGGAATGTTGCTACATAGAAATGGAAAGGTCACAATTCGGAAGCTGAAATCATCATTTTTGTTAGAAAGTTTTGTTTTCAACCGACCCTCATTGTAAATTTCTAGATGTAAGTCAAGATATGAGGCAGACTTAACTGTATCTGTTGTATCCTTTATCTCCAGTTCGATGGGATAGATGCGTTCAACATAGTAACCAAATTTTGAATTATCCAGTGAGAGAACTTCATCTATATAGCATAAGGTAAAGTTAAAGATACTTTAAAACTTCATTGGCGAACATGTTGATCCAAACAATCATTTGGCGGCTCACTCCTTAGTCATGTCAACCGTAGAAATATAAGCCAATGAAAAAAATTGTTATATAAATATCGAATTAGAATTGAGGAATGACATTACTGTAGTTGAAGAGTTGCCGTCGTCAATTGGCATTTTAATGATCGCAAATGTAGAAAACTGGAAAAATAAACGAATATACAGTGATTTTTTTGGCAAGTAATGTTATATACACAGAATACAAGCGTAATACAAGAAACACGTCAGATGAGATGAATTAGTTTGATTGATACGCTGTAAATAAATAAAGATTATTTCACAATTAAGTTCCTAAATAATTTTCCTCCAAATGACTGTCGTCACATGAATCATAATTCATAAATTTGAAAATTGTTTGTTCCTCCATTGATAAAAACAAGGTGTGAATAATGATTTGAATAAATCTAGAATGACATTTGAACGACCTGAATCTTTTTTGAGCGTCCATGCTCGAGAGGGTGGACAATACATGACAATGGGATACAGCATATTGCATTGAATGCTATCAAATTTCAGTCGACTCGACTGCAGAATCTCACTTTTCAATGACCGCAGCACATTGTGAATATACTGATGACTTATTAATGAATAAAACTTATATATTGATTCCAATATACTTAACAAGCAACTGGATCTTTTGTAAAACTTTCCCGGTATGCTGTTTTGCTTAGTCAATTAAAAAAAAAATAGCAACCCGATTCTTCGTTCGTTGTTTATACTGATATTACTAATGAGTACGCATCTTGTTATATTAACGTTGGCATTTTTTCCCCAAATTATCAATGCATTTTACTTTCAGAATGTACTAATGAAAGAGAAATAGAGTGAATAAAAATCTGTTTAAACAACCTTTACTTTTTCTAAACTTATTATTATATATAATGTGACTGACCATGTTATGAAAGGTGACCTAAAGTTTGTCAACAACACTTCCCTGAGAGAAATGTTAACCAGAGCGTATTCATACCTTCAGTCTTAGCCGTGAAGTATGTGTTTGGTATTAAGCGCTTGCTCATATATATTTCAACACAAACCGATGATCATTTTAGATCAAATACGTATATTTCGACATGTTTATGACATCATAGTGACATCACACTTGACCTTTCTACTCAAAAGTTTTAAAATTATATAAACCTGTTGATTATCAATAAAATTAATCCTATTTTGAAAGGCTTGAACAAGTTCACTTATCTAACAATATTAAGGGGAAAATAATGGCTCTTATCATACCTCCTATATTAAAACATACTTTAATACTAATGCATTAGTCTAACATTATGCCAGACAATTTACTAGTTGGGAAAGGAAGACGTATATACTCTTATCGAATGTATCTGAGGTCGTTGATACAAATTAGATTTTAGAAAAAAACTTTATATGTCTATGAACATCTGTTTTCAAAGCCTCAAATATTGGTTATTCCTGCGAAATACCTGTCCTTTCTTAACGATAAAAGTTGTTGTCATTGCAAATTAAAAAAAAAAACACCAATCTACATATCTTATGTTTTTTTTATATCACATTTCACAATGGAACCTGGTATAAATTCGCACTACACATACCAAAGAAACACCTTTTAATAAGCATGTTGCTATGTTTTATTTTGGAATTTTATCCTACGATGAAGAACTGGATCCTTCGTAACTGTACTAGAGACAACAACTAAAAAAGTATCAAGGACCAAATCATGGACATCTATTCTATAATCAATCTAAACCGGGCTTCGTAGTCACTTTTAAAATATCTACGTTATGGGCGGTGTGAATCATATGTTGATAATTAACTAAACTAAATGATCTGTTAAATGTAAATACAATATAAGTCCCTTTCCTCTGGCAATAATATAAAACATCGGACCCTTTACACAGGTATTCCTCGTTCTACATCTAAACACATATTTATAGAATAAGTCAAACTTTAAAAGGAGTGGTCAAAGTATATAAGTACAAATATATTGTCTTTGGAAAAGATAAAATGAAACTTTTCTGTAACTGAAGTCATCAAGATGTTTTTTTTTTAGCTCACTTGGTCGAAAGGCCACGCCAGTTTTTCTCATCATTTAGCGTCTGTCATCCGTCGTCGTCCGTCGTAGTCGTTAACTTTTACAAAAATCTTCTCCTCCGAAATCACTAAGCAAAATGATGTTCACCAAATGTTTGCGTTTTTGTCTAATATCTTGAATTGTAATAGATAGATAGAAACTTTAAATAGCACACATGATCGGAATGACAAGATCTACAAATAAGACTCGTCATCGGAGTTATTGCCCTTTAGCTTTAATGATCTTTTTTTTTACATTTTTTTGCATTTGTTGTCTATTTTGTCAGCAGGATAAGATATACAAATATGTCAACATGACTGAAACTGTCAGTTAACTCTAGACAATGCTAGAATTGTTCCCATTTAATGATAATTTTTACTGAAAAGTGGCTAAAGTTGAAGATGCAGGTGAGCGACACAGGCTTTTTATAGCCTTTAGATTATTTGTTGCGTAAGAAAATTATTTTTTTATCAGACAATAGGTATTCATATATGACAGTAAGTGTGCTCCTTTTCCTAACGACTTTTACTGTACTCCTATGAGGAAGACTTAAAATATGAGTTTCTCAGAAATAAGGAAAAGAAAGCTTGTACTATCCGTTTACTACACGTTCCGCTATTCAGATGAGGATATCTCACTTAATAATTCAAAGTTTGTTGACTATGGTGACCGTATATTTACCATCGAATTTGAAATGAATAATACATTACATACAATTGAAATTGCCTCATATTTTGACAAACATCTAAATTAATTGAACATGATTATGATGTCCAATTGTGAAGTTTCCAAATCTATAAAGCAACATTCCATCAGCACCTGTATATGGAGTATAAATAATTCTTTAAAGAAAGTGCTTTCCAATCATTGACCTGATAACAAATGTCAATCGACCGGCTTGACCTTCCACACAAGATGTGATGTCATTGTTATCAAATATAACGTCCGATATTTTTCTTCTACTCTTGAAAACTGTCTTTGATAAGCCAATTTATGAAAACATTTAAAAAAAACTAAATATATAAACATATTTGTTCCAGAGATTTAAGTGGAAACAACATTAGTCTAATTGAGGAACATGCTCTAGGAAACTTAACCCAACTATCAACTTTGTAAGTTTGTAAAAACAAAACACACAAACGCAAACACACACACTAACACTTAATGAGACTTGTTTCTTGAAAAATGTTCAGCTGCTTAGAAGACCAAGCGCTTGTGCAAATGAGTGAAATTTTCCATAATAATGAGGCAGTTTATTTGTGTGCGTGATAACACAAGATTTAAGGATTATAATAAAATAACGTCGTGGATTTAAACAATAACAGGCCATCGTACGGTATTCAACAATATGCAAAACCCGTACCGTACCGTAAAGTAAGTTATAAGACAATGACAAAATGCGAAACAATTCAACCATTACAAAAAACTTTGTGAACAATTTTCCGTTCATAATCAGTTATACAAAAGTATCGTTCCTTTACATTGCAGTATAGGTGATCACAACAAAAATATTTTGAGAAGTCATAAAAGGGTTAAATTGCAGCATTTCTTAGTGAATTTTCATAAGATTCACCTTTCGTAATCTCAGCGTTTTTCTAGTTTCCTTGTGTTTTTGACATAAATCCTATTGAGTTTAATTTCTATATATGATTAATTGCGGAAATAAATATTATAAATAACGTAAAAAATAACAACAAATACCCACTTATTCATTTGGGTTTTTCTTGTCTGTTATTATTAACATGAACTTAACATCGGTTATTTTTGCATAAATTATTTATGTTTGCAGGAACCTTGCTTCAAATCCAATAAACTGTGATTGCAGTATATTTCCATTCTGGTCCTGGATAATTGAAAGAGCATCAATTGGAATAAGTGCTAAATGTAGCGACGGAAAATTTGTTATATCTCTGAGATCCGCTGAGCTTGAAAAATGTAATCGTAAGTAATATAAACAAAATTACACTTAAGTGATTATATAAAAAAAATAAGCTAGTTAATTACTTTAAACTAGAGATTTTTATTCGTAAAAAAAATATGTTTACTCTGTTAAGATATTAATGTTTTGTATAAGGAAACATCATTGAAAGGTTCAAATGTCTTGACACCATCTACACACTTGACCAATTAAAGATAAAGAATATATGTTAAAAGACCCACAAAGGTAACGTCGACAAGTCTCGACACTATGTTACAATTTGGAAATACATCAAACACAGTTTGAAAAATGTACTAACTATTTCAAAGCTGATAAAATAAGCATTGTTGTTATACGTTGAATTTACCTTTCTTTATGATTTTGTCGAGCATCTTGAAGTCAACAGTTATATACATAAAGCTTATTTTTGCATTATATCTTTTACGATTCATTTTATTTTACTAAATTGAAATTGTCTTATGCGGATCCAACTATTGTCCCCGGAAAATGTAAGGAAAGCATTGGATAACGATGCATATTGTAACTAGTGATAAAACTAGAATATATAGTTCATTTAGAGGAGGGAATCTATACAGTATAAAAGAACAAAAATTTATGGAGCGAAATAAGATATGACTAGACATATATACTCCTCACATCAATGAAAAGACACTGTGGATCAATATTAGTAGAATAGACAAGAACAAATTATGCCTCCATACTATTGCAGAAACCGCGTAATGTTTGGAAAAAATAAAAGTACAAACCAAATTAAATTTAAATACTAATAAGTTTCAGATAATTCTTATTCGTAATTCGTAATGAAAGCAATCATGATTAGTGAACCTGTACATTTATTTATCATGACGCTTTATATGTACACTGTGATAACCGCCCAACATATACACTATAATAATGAATTATAAAATTAAAAAATACTTAACATAAGGCAAGTAAAAACTGCTGACCTGATTCCCAATTCAGAACGAACAAATGAATACCTTGCGGGTTTTTCTTTCTTTTTTTTACTTCCCCGTTAATCTCAAGCTTTACAAGAAATATTCATAAAGACAATGAAGAAAACTCAATGATATCATGGAAACATAAAACATTAACAATGCAAATATATGATGAAAAATATTTGGTGTTACATATTACACAATTCAATGAATATAATTTACCTGTTGATCAGTGTTCATATCATTTTATACTTAAAACGATCGATTGCTACATTTCAAAGTAATATTTCACACAGAAGCATCTTAAAAAATATAAAAAAGTATGATCATTTGCCATGCTAATAGCTTATATCTAATAAATTCCGTCATGGTATTTCTTAACATTTCATTTCACCTTTTTATTTCAAAAAGAACCATAATAACGGAGCTAACATTGTTAAATCAGCAAGTAAAAAAGGAAATGAGTTTACAAATATCATTCACTTAATGTTCATGAAACACCAGTCTTTCAAATATCAGTAGTTTCTCTCTTTTTTTAAATTTTGTTTTAACACATCTGCATCATGGCCTGAAAGTTCCTGGGTTGAGAGTAAAATTGACTAGATGGCCTAATTAGTTTCTTTTACTGAAATTGTTTTGTATTCATATTTGTGCCAAGGCTTTACCCATAAGGATATTTTGCCACCCACTAGATGTATTTTCATAAGATGTAACAACTATCAATGATACCGGGCTTATAATATTAACGCCAGACTCGAGTTAAATGTTTTAATAACTAGCACATATCAATGTTGTAAATAAACAATGTGTACAATGGTCATTTAGGGTCCTACGGGTCAATTTAGACATAGGTATGATAGAATGACATCACAAGTCACAATGTAGTTTGCGTTCGAAACTTTGGCAATTTTTTTAGCCAAATAATACCCTTATTCAAACCGTCTCACTTTGTCCATGGATACTAATTTTATCGACCCAATCGAGGGATATTGACTCTTGTGCTCCCGGGAAAGGTTATTCAAACGATAGCAACGAACATGCTGTACCTAAAAAATAGTCCTGGAATGCAAAAATCTTTTCACTGTATTTTTCATGTTTATCAATTTTATGATATTTAACTCAGTTTTAATCATAATTCATTTTGATAATGTTGATATAATTTCATTTAAGCTGATAATTGTCGATGCTTTAATGGTGGAAAATGTATAACGAGCGGTGATGGAAAAGTTGTCTGTGACTGTATAGGAGAATGGACCGGCGAATTTTGTCAAGGTGAACAAAATTACTTTCATATTCATATATAACTGCTTTGAACTTCGCAATGGTTCAATCTGAACATTCCTAATGGCGGTAAATCAAGAAATATTTTTAAATTATGGTTAGAAATGAGCAATTTTCTTTAATTGATGATAATAATTACAATACGCTGTACACTTTGTCAAAACGTCAAAAAAGATGTATGCGGCAGTTAAAATGGAGCAAGATAATGTTGCATTATTTTAGCAAAGTTTGTTTATATTAACTGTGTATTTTAATAGGGAATTCAAATTATCATTATGGACTCTACTGGTTATTCAATTTTAACAAATTCTCACTCGCGATTTAGTAAAAGACTTTTATATAATTATTGATATGCGTAAACAAGTCGGAAAATACAGAATGTGAACACTAGACGTTTTCTGTCTTCATTCTCATTGTATATGTTTAAATTTAAATTTATATTTAATACTTAAACATAAAAAATACATCTCGAATTACTTAAAACTGTTGTCGTCAATTACAGTTATAATACTACATGGGTATCTTACTTTTGATTTTATACATTTCACATCGTGTAAAGTAGTAGATCTTGATTCATGTGGTCCTCATTGGCAAATACACAGTTTCCGAATTGACATTATTTGATATTTTAATATGCACTTCAACAGAAAGTCAGTGTATGACATACGACTGTGGATTTGGAAACTGCTTTGTAGAACCAATGAATGGAACAGCTCAGTGTGTTTGTGGCAACAAACAACCAACCTATTGTCCCGGTAAGCGGATTTAATTTAAATGACAAATATAACAATAAATAATTATGAAATGTAAAGCTTTTAAAACATTCGTTACATTTTTCAGTCATAGACAAACAATTTTTAATATAGAAAAACGTATATAAATATATTTAACTAAAGGCTTGATCGTGTATTGTTATGTTTATATGCGGCACATTACACTAAATATTGAAAGAAAAAAAGCATATGAGAAACAATGGTAACAATTCAGAAGATAGTTTTGATTTAAAGGTGTTAATTATTGTTTTCATACTGTCTCATTTAAAAAGAAATAAATGTTATACATGTCATATGTACAAGATAGTTGGGTGTTATTTCTTATTTTCATTTTTCGTAATGTATGAACTTTTAATTAACTCACGTAATCCTTAATGTTTTATTATACAATATTTTACGCACTATTCTTATTTACTCGACGCTTACTAACAGCAAGTTGCCTATTTGTAAGAATAATATGATAATAATCTTGTCATTATTGCAACATTGTTGGAAAATAAGTTAAATAAAATACGTTTTTTAAAGGTGTAAATCTTGTGTTAGATTTATTTACTGTTTATAAAAAAAATACAAATTCTTGAAGCGGCTATGAGTTCAATATCTTTAATTGTTTTCTACTGATTTCATTTTGTTTGAAATGTAGTTTATCAATTAATTTCTTTGTTATTAATTTTTGTTGTTAGCTTCATGATACTAGACAGTTTATTCCGGATGAATTATTATCAATGATGTATACAATTGAACAGATAAACTTTTCATCAAAGACAAATATTTAACTGTTTTAATACACACTCGTATTTTCCTTTTAGTTACAATCAATGTAACAGTTGTATATAATTAAAGAAAAAACAATTAAGTGTTTGCCAAACATTCGTATTTATGTTTGGTTTTTTTTTAATTAATATTGTATATAATTAAACAGATAAACTTTTCGTCAAAGATAAATATTTAAGTGTTTTTAAACATTCGTATTTTCTTTTTTATATATATATATTCATACCATGTTTCATTTATAGGAGAATTTGAATTCACCATTTGAATTAATTTTGTTTCAGGATAATAAACGTAATTCCTATAACATATAAAAGCAACTTTTCATAAATAATTTAATTCATTCATTCTCTTTTCAAATCACGTATCTACGATTTTGAGAAAATGATCTAGAAATGATTCGTTCAACTGAATTATGACTGCATTGAAAATGATGATCGGACAACTTATTGAAGGTAATGATTTCAAAAACAAATAATTTCATAATCGGATTCGTGAGATTATTGCTTGTAACAATTTCATTAGGGTTATCTGTGATTACCTAACATTGATTTTTTTATTGAATATTCATCCGCGTCTTGAACATGGTCCCTTTAAATATAAAACTAGTGCGTTTATACACGATTCAAACACCTCTAAAACGCACCCAACAACCAATGTTAAAAACTAACAGATAACACAAAATTCCTCCCTTCCAAAATAAAGACTCCACTTTAAAACTGGAACATTTGTACAATGCGCAACCGTTTACATCTACTTAACTATTCTTATAGAATAGTTTTCAAAAGGTACGTTCAATGTTAATTATTTGTGTTTCACAACTTAAATGCATGAGATATGATGTAAAGGTGTAACACTACCAATTCGGTACTGGTCAATAAAAACATACCACAGGAGATCTAAAAAAAAAAAAAAAAAAAGGATTCATACGAAAAGGCATAAGTTCAAACATATGAACATTTTTGTAATTTAAGTATCAAATGAAAGCTTAGTTATTCCAGCATTTTTTGACTGATATATTATCAAATCATGTAATTCTTTAAAGAGGCTATATTTCGCATGTTTTGCTTGCTTCTCAGATCGGAAGAACCTGTTCTGATACTCCTTATATTCCGGGATGCAGTACGCTCTTATATGAAATTAAAGGTACTAGTATATTGATTTTATGCATTTGGCCCAGAGGGCCAAATGAGCTTTTATCGGGACTATACGTCCATTGTCCGTCGTCGTCGTCCGATACCTTACACAAATATCCTTTATTTTGAAACTACTTGGCAAAATAAAGCTAAGCTTGGCCAAGATCATTATTTGGGTATCTAGTTAAAAATATGTGTTCGATAATCCCGCCTACATGACAAAAATGGCTTAAGGTTGCAGTTCTGTAAATATGGACAATGCAATTTCCCATAGTAACTTCGTTTACGGCTATACTATGAAGTTACGTGGCTATACTATGAAGTTTCGTAAAACACTATAAATTAGAATGTAAAGTTCATATGCACTTCTATTTTTGTCAAAGGTCAAAACATAGGGTTGTGCGACATATTTTCGACATTTATATGCCCCGAACATATAAGAATTTAAACCTATACTAAATTTCTGAAATAACCCTCCCTTCACTTTGAGTCTTCCTCAGAATTATTTTTGGCCGCTATCCATGTGTATCCAACTGGTAACATTTAAATATCATATCCGGGAATCAATATACAAAAAGAACAAAAAAATCTTAGATTATCATATAAAAAGAGGCGTGGTTTGTGAAACAGCTGTATTAACCTAGTGCAACCTTACTATAGATCATAAGGATAAAATGCAAGTTTTGCCTTTTATCTTGAAATCAGAATTAATACGAGAAAGAGCAAATCTTACCGGGGTAGAAATGTTCAGATTGATTAGATCTATCTATTTTCTGTTTACATCAAAACTGTCAGACGATTTAAACTTTTCCCTATGTTCTTGAAAACTATAATAGAAAGAGAGAAGCTTGACATAGAAATAAATTAGTCAACGTGGTTGAAATCGTCCGACAACTCTTTATTGGAATTATTGCCCTTTCATGGTCATGTTAATTTTTTTTTTGAATTTTCCGTTTAATATTTTAAACTTGAAAACTATGAAAGAGAGGCAAAAGATACCAAAGGGACATTCAAACTCATAAGTAGAAAATAAACTGACAACGCCATGGCAAAAAAGAAAAAAGACAAACAACAGAACCCAAAACACAGAATAGAGAACAAAAACTGAGCAACATGAATCCAACCAAAATCTGGGAGTGATCGCAGGTGCTCAGGAAGGGTTAGCAGATCCTGCTCCACTTGTGGCACCCGTCGTGCTGCTCATGATTGTAGAAACCCAGTAATAAGTATGTTTCGGTAGGTCTTACTTGGTGAAAAGGGAACGGGATTGTTGTTGTGACATTTGGAACATATCCGCTATCATCTGTGAAACGAATATTTAATAACGGTCAACCAACTCGTGATGGCGTCCGTAAACTTTACAAAGGAATGATTTCAACTTCACCACTCAGAACTCTTGGTTTAATAGCTTCCTTGTGAGCAGCAACCTTCTATCACGAAAATCATGATAGAAAATACGAGATAGAAACTAACATAAGCAAATATCATCAGCAAGAAAAGTGGAATGGCTGAAATCGTCAGCCGACATTTTACTGGTGTTATTGTGCTTCAATGACGATTTTTACCCGCATAAGTGTTTTTGACTATAATTTTGAAAAATTTAATACTTAGATAGACTCTTTAATTAGCAAAAATGATCAACATGATAAGATATAGAAATGAGGCAACTTCGAGGAAATCGTCAGTCGACACAAAATTGGAATTTATGATCTTTAATGACAATTTGTACCATTTTGTTTTTGGGCATTTTTGGCTATTATCCTGAAAACTATAAAAGATAGTAAGCCACTTCATACAAAAATGATCATCAATAGAAGATCTTCAAATGAGTCAATTTTTTGCTGAAATCTTTTAACGACTCTTTATACAAAAAAGTGCCCTTAAAAGGCGACTGTTTTAACCTTCTTGTGTGTTGGGCAAAAACGAGTAAAGATAGAAGAAACTATAACAGAAAAAATGATCAGCGATACAAGATCATAAATTCTTTTCTAGTCCACAATGTTGAAGCGGGTCCACCGATTGTTGAAGATGTACGTATACCTAGGAGCCTCTAGCTTTAGCACAAGACAACTTAAGTAGTGCTTTGACATTTAATGGCTTTTACCTTATTTGAACTTACAACAATCGAGCTATGCATGCTTGAAATTGACGAATTCTACATATATAAAGCAAATAAGATGAAGAACAAGTGAAGTACATCCTTTTACTGGAAATCATTATAAATTCACTTTTAAGAAGTTGTACCATTTCCAATAAAAATTGACCATCTTGTTGTCAGAAACCATATTCAATCGACTTGTTTGTCTGAAAGTTCAGCCTAAAAATTGCTACAAAATGGTAGTTTGGCCTTATTTTGTCACATAATATGCATACAGTTAAAATTTAACCTGATGTTACAAATTTTGCGTTATTTTTATGGATATCAATGAAACATTTATATCATGATTTGTTAAACAAAATGCTAGTGGTTAAATTAATTTGTGATTTTTTATAAACATAAAAGGCAATGGGGCCAATGATTGATGGTGTGCTTCCTTAAGGTATACCGGTGTTTGGTCTCAGTTAATGAGACAACTATCCAACAACAAAGCTCACTTAAAACACATGAAAAATTGTCTACACTAAATGTCAGGCTCTACATCTCTTTAAATATCCCTTAACACTATATAAAATAAACTATCAAATATATTCGTTAGCATATAATTCCTAGATATAAAAAAATACGATACGACAAAAGACATCAATAATTGAGGCTCTTGGCGTCAAACGATAACATGGCGATCAGTGGACCTACAAACGGTACTTTAAAGAACACATTAATAAGTGAAATCAAATACCTGCATACGTAACGTATGAGACCTACTGTTACATAAGTGTTGATAATTACTTAAAGCTAAGTCAAGTTGGAGTTCATATGAAATCATGACCATATATATCTTACTCTTATTTTTTTTGCATCTATAGTTGACAGTTGTTTTATACAGTAAGCTTTATAAACAAGCTAGGTACAAATGACCCCGTCAAATATGTACATCAATTGCAAAATGCCAAGAATACACCGGTCAATAATTGCATTGTGGAAAAATCCAAAACTGCAATTCAGAATAGTTGAGGGCGGTATATAAAAAAAATCAACTCAATAGTTTTGAAAAACATTTTTCAACTGAGAAATTTTGAAAAGCCAAGTTTTACATTGAATAAGATTGAAATACAATGCGATTATCTCCATTCTATTGCAAATTAAACACGTAATTGCCTATTTTAATTATTGGTGTAGTGTAAAATCACATAAAGTACAAATTTCACGGAAAGTTGTTGTCATCTTCGGCACCATAAGTATTTGTTATCAAACATGTATGCCAGACTTTCTCTTTTTGCTGTACGATTAACATTCGTACTTTAAGATAAAAGAATTTATAATGTATAAGCAAGAGACAAATAACTTTCAGTGCTAAAAATACTAATATGTTCCTGCACGATTTCTGGTCAAGTAAAGGACACTAGTATTCTCCAACAATCAACAATTGTTTTGTTTCACCGGAAGTTGATTTCTTCGAAAGGACATGTAAAATAAATACTTACTTTATAATAGATATAACAAATTGTGATGTATAACAAACTTTAAAATTACAATAAATATGTATTCCCTTAAATCAAAATAAACTTATAGATTCTATTTAAATAAACTTATACGTACCTTGACCTATAATGGTTTACTTTTATAAATTGTAACTTGGATTGAGAGTTGTCTCATTGGCACTCATACCACATCTTCCTATATCTATTATGAATTTTTTGTGCATAAATTAGACATTTAGTTTTCTCGTTTGAATTGCTTTACATTTGTTATTTCGGGGCCTCATACAGCTAACTATGCGGTATGGCCTTTGCTCATTATTGAAGGCCGAACGATGGCCAATAGTTGTTAATTTCTGTGTCATTTGGTCTCTTGTGGAGAGTTGTCTCATTGGTAATTATACCACATCTTCTTTTTTATATTATGTACGGAAGCTTGCCATAATTAGGAATACGTTGACGTATCTATATGCAGAAAAGTGATTAATACTTTGTTTTTTGTTTTTGTTTTTTAGATTGCAACTTATGTAGAATCTACAGCAAGCAGAATCGCCTCCATCGACACCGAATTATATAATGCCGTTGCTCATAGTCGAAGCAAACTGTTTGTACAAATCAACTGACACAGACGCAGTAAAACGTCATGTTATTTCTAATTCATTTGAACAGTATTTTTTCGACAGTGATAAGGGTGCACGACTTGCATTTAGCAATTTACCACATATACACTGATATATGAAAGGCAGTTATGTACTTGTTGCTGTATGTTATCTGATATAAGTCCTCAACGAGCAGCGAAATAAAAAAAAATGCTTCTTGAACCTAGTATGCTTTCATATTATTGACTTTCGTTGTTATAGGATTTCATTTCTTAAGGAAGTAGGTTAAATATATGAATAGAAATTCTTTCAAACAAAATACTGATTTCCCGTACCGTTCCCAAAATGATCGTTTTTTGTTGTTTTTTTGGTAATCACTAAATGATATTTTTTGTAAAAGAAGTGTGTACAATCCGATTGTTGTTTTATATTTTATCCATAATACCGGTATCAACGCTTTTCACTTTGCAATTTAATTTTGATATTTTTAATGATGTCACATTGAGTCTCACATTTCACAATTCCGGTTATATATAAATGTAAGCTTCTGAAAAATATAAAAAAAACATTGTATGTACATTGTTCTACAGCTTATATTATTGTATTTTTTAAAACGCAAGACATTTGTAAGATCATCGAGTGCCTGTATTGTTAGATATGTTTATCAATCCATATCGCATAGATATATATTTGTTTTTAAATGTACTAATGTGCCATGAGTAGAGAAATATAAAGTTGTTTAGTGTCACATAAATTTAATGTGATATACTATCCATGCTATTCTAAGAAAGCAAGCAATTCCAAATTTGATACCATGCAGATGAAATACATGAAATAAATGACAATTCATGAGAAAAAAAGATTGTCTTATTTAACTTGGCTTTAGCTGTCAAATTCGTGGTATCTGATTTGACCCAAATTCTCATATTTGATTTATGACATATTAAAACGTATTACCATAACAAAAGAAAGTAAAAAAAGAAACAATTTACATGCATAGACTTTTTATAAGGAATCAGTACTTCGTGTGTAATTTATACTACCCGCCAACTAAACATCCATCGAGATGACTGTCAGTCATATAATCCGACATAAACATATCATATACTAGTACATATTTATAAATAATATGTTACCTTTTTTATTTTCTTTTTCAAGTAAGTGTTTAGCCTATTGGTAGCTGTACTGAGCAATTTTTTTAACGCAATGAAGGAGGTTTGTGTGCACCAAAAACTGAAATTATTCCACCATATTTTGTGGCTGTGCCAAATCGGGCTATCAAGACAATGTGTTGTTCCTGGTTGTTTGTCTTTAATTGTGTATTTGTCAGTTCATACTCCCATAATTATAGTTATTATGTTGTTCATGATGATTATTTGATTTAAATAATGTCATACAAAATGTGAATATTACAATCGGAATTATTAGACTCTGTTTTCCTGTCATTCTCTTTGGACGCCCCGAGAAAAATCTCCCTTGTGTGGACGTAACGAATGAGTCAGTGAAAAGAGGAACACAAGTAGTTCAAATTAAGCATACAGTTCGTCGTAAAACAGGGCCACTGAATGTAAAAAAAAACGTTGTCTTAAACATAACCAAGCATGGCGATAACGTTCTTTTTAATTAACTCAAAGTTGTTTGTTATAAAAAAAGATATGAGTTATCCCTGCTTAATACTGGATGTTTGTATGTTCGATAGTTATGCCTTTATATGTAAGAAAATTGGACTACTGCAAAGGTATTTTATGGTATTTCTGTTTTCCGAGGCAGGGGGTGTGTTTAAAGATTATAATCTATACTGCTGCTAAATAATCGCGTCTGTGTTTGAAGAATATCATTCGATAGTTTATAGGTTAAATAAAGTCTGCAATGTTTCTTTTATGGCTGCCAATTATATCAAGATAGGTTATTACAACGATAAATAAAGACACTAGAGCAACATACTTTCTCGAGGATTGAAACAGCAGTTTTAAATGCTTATATATATGCTATTGGAGTTGTCTCTTAGAATTGTGTCCAATCAGGGAGCATCAAACATAGAAAAAAAGTACTAGAGCTCATATCGTATTACCGATCTTGTGTTGAAGTTTTTTGAATATGTTTTAGTTGCAATTTTACAAATTTCAATAAAAAATAACATTATAAAGATTATACTTTATTAACAAACTAGAAGTACACTGAAAAGTCATTTCTTAGGCTTTACAGCACTATATTCAGACATGGTATAAAACGAACTGATTTATATATTCCTTTTTAGACACTGTGGATATGATTAAGTTGATAATATAAATATAGGATCTTGTAGAGTAGACCAAACCATATACTGTAGTCCATGGGATGAACAAGTTAAACATTTAAAATATCATTCAACACATCCAATTTGTATTTAACACAAAAAGAAAAACAATTTTCCATTGATCAAATTTCGTTTGCAAGGTATCTCTCATTCATAGGCACAAATTTCAGCACAGTAGATTTTGGAGCGTACTTCAAATCCGTTTCAATCAGGATTGTGTTCTGAAAATTAAAAAAAATGGAAAAGAATCATACATAGTGTCTTGTTATAGTTGGTTGGAGCTTCCCTAGTAATGTTTCACTAATCAGGTGGGGGAAACCCTACACACACATATCAAACTCTCTTTTTTTCGTAATTTTAAAATGAGATTTGTTATTCGAACTATTTTGAAAACAATGTGTAAGGAAATAAATCATAACATGTAATTTCGTTTAGTTTTATTTCCCTTAAACAAATATTTTTCAAAGATATTTACAGAACGCAATTAATCGCGACACTATTCGAACTTGTCGGTACAGTTACATGTTCAAAAAATGAACATAAAATAATCAATTTGTGTGCTGTTAATATTGGTTATGGCGTTGTTTATCATTTTTATGTGAAACAATGTACAATTATTTTAATTTGTCGACCAAATTTTTATATTGTATTACTTCCATGGTTTCCACATATATTCATAATTGAGGGTTCGAAGTTCAATGGCTTTTTAATTTTATGATGCCAAAGGGTTACCAATAGATATCTACTAACAAGTAACGGTATTTCGCTGTAATACCTTCTACAAATAACCTGTCTTTATTTTGAGTAGAGCGACAGATTTCACTAGAAAAGCTAATTCTCCCAGAGCGCCTAAGTTTATCCCTCCCTAAATTACAGTGGGGTTCGCGTACTCAATCATTGGTTTATGTGTTGTATTTTGTTGGCTATTGTATGATTTTTGTTTGTCTTAATGTATGTTTGGCCATGATGTTTCTTTTTTTTCAGACTTGTATCTTCCATAGACTGGCACCCTGTCCTTTACTTGTTTGGCCCAAGGTTGACTCAGATTCTGTATGTTGCAAGGGAGAGGACCAGACTATGGTGTCCATTACCTCCTTTATATCTTCTTTTTTTTGTCACAGAATAAAACATTTTAAGAAATGTATTTTTCAAAGTTCTTAATGTTTCTTGAATAGGTCAATCATTTTTCTACACAAAAAAAAAGTCATGTAATTAAGGTATAATTTTTAATTAAGGAAAGCTGCGTAGTTTTCCGCCTTTTCTCGTTCCGTCAAATTCAATACATGGACAATGCTTGCACGCGGATAATAAAAGAACAGTGAAGTGAACTGTGTGCTTATACGAGGGTTGATTGTTTTGTTTTAATCTGAACAGTAGTAATTATAATTTTGAATCATTGAACGATGCAATGTACTAGGGTGTGTTGCAAAGGAATACACATTATGGAAATCATCTTCCAAAAAAACGAACAAAACCAACACACATACAAGTAATATCAAAGAATTCAGTAAAGGCATGTTATACATACCTGCAATAGTTTAAGACCAGACTGTTGGAATTGTAAATCCTTTGTCGATGGCATAGGAAAACCTTTGGTTCCGAGACCTGGAACACAAAATATGAGTCAATATTGAGTTTATGACACGTTAGACATATATCATTCCGGTTTCTATGGTAATCATGGTAATATATAATTAATATTTTATATAATTGTTCTTTTGCTATTTAGATTTGAGCAGATGTTTTACTTTATGAAAGGTTATTTTCAAAAACCCTAATTCGAATTTTACAGTTCTAATCTGATATCTATTTATTCTCTTTCCAGTCAAATAGTCTTTTGATTGCTGAGAAAAAGAATAAAATGAGGAAGTAAAAGTGAAATTAATTAGCATCAGCCATGTCAGCCCAGCCGTCAACACTCTTTTGCTGACATGAAATATTATTTATACGGTCATTCGCAACAATAAAGGTTTTCTACCCTCAGATACAGATGGTCTTTATAGACAGATTTGACATTTTTTTTTCAATTTTTTTAGTGTAAATGTTCTTCTGCTACGTTATTGATTTAAATTTCGAACTTTTAATCGAGCGCCTTTGTCGAGTCTTGTGACAACGAAAAACGCGTCTTGCTTATCGAATTATAAACACAGTATCCTTGATGAGATTTTATGATTATGTGAGCCAGACGGCTGTTGCCACGGGGTAAGCAACAATTGCCTACCCTTTTACATAGCATGACTTCATCCCTATGTTTTAGTACGGTTTGTGTAGCAGAACGTCTTGAATACGTATGAACAATTTGCCACTGGACGTTTAGCAAACCACGATCAATCAATAATTCATCCCATTAAGGCCTCATCAAATAACATTCATATGCTAGCTTGCTTTTTTCATGACGAATCAATTCCGTCTAACATAAAATGAATTTTTCGCAATATGAGTTCTCAAAAGTTAATTTGAAACATACGTACCGTTGATCATTGGTTCTATGGTGGTTATGATGGCACTGTCCACAAGAAATTGTAATGCTCTATCCTATAAAGAGATAGACATAATGATAAATATAGAATACTGATAATTCTGTGGTAACAGTATATACTGAGTGAATAAAAAGAGATGGATATTGTTTTTATAATCATACACTAATGTTACACAAAATGGGTCTTCAACGCTGTAAAGATGTCTTTCCAGTACGGCAAACACTAAATCGAAAGCATCGACAAGTTTTGAATAGAGTAAATAGTTACAATCAAAGATTTACAATCATACCAACATTTTTTTAGTTAAGGTTAAACACTTAGAAACAAATATCGCAAACACGTTTGCGGTTCATAAACACTTTTGAGGATCACAAACAGTTTTGCGGTTTCTAAGATAAAAAATATGGCAAGTTTGAATAGTTTTTTTTTTTTTGAATTTGTAGCACTCTTGCGTTTTATCTTCATCAGCGGTATATCAAAGGATATATATATATATATATAAAACGTTCAGCAAACTAGAAAATAACACCCAGACCCCCACCCCTCCTCCCCCCACCCCAAAAAAAAAAATTGTCTAGATTTTGCACTCTACTCTTCTTGTACTGTACTACATATTTCCGATGATTGAATTTTGTATTTTCATTATTTTTCAAATCGAATTATCTTTGGTATTTGATATACTGATTTAAAAAAATATTTAAATAGGCGTACAATATAATTGATGGGTATTACTGTTGGTTTTTGTAACAAAACAAACTAATATCGATAAACCAGCAGTCGAAAAATTATATACTTAATTTAAAATAAATATCCATTTTCTCTGTAGTTATTAAATACATTAAAGAAACATATTAATTATCTTCATTTTCTTTAATACACGACGTACTTACATTTATTGTACCGATGGCAGAGTTTGTAACTTTCGTTAGAATTCTGAAAAGATAATATTTTATATTAGTCTTTATTTATAAATATCACCATCAAATTTCCTGTTTCCGTTGGCAAATTGAATCAATAAGTCCAATAAAAACAGACATTACCATTACAAAAAAATCAACGGAAAAACAAACAACAGGAAAACAAAATTTCACATAAAACTAACGTGACCAACTAGAACTGGAACCATACCGATGCCCCGGGATGGTGAAATTTATATTATCTGGTAGTGTAAGCAGTTCCTACTATACAAGTGACAATCGGTATATTTATGATTATCATAGTAGTAAATAAGAAATTACAGTATCAATGTAATCATAAGTAAAATAACAAAAATACCGAACTCCGAGGAAAATTCTAAACGGAAAGTCCCTAAGCAAATGGCAAAATCAAAAGCTCAAACACCTCAAACGAATGGATAACAACTGTCATATGCCTGACTTGGTACATGCAAGACTACTCTCGACAAATACATTGTGTGGTATAAACGATCATATATTGATTTCTCGCGATAAATGGATTGTTTTTGTTGGGTTCTTGTGTTAAATAATGTCAGCGTTTTATTTGTCACGACAAAGAAATGTCACCAGCGTTATATTCCGTATCATATCTCATTATGTTACTGGACTTGAAAGTACTCGATTCGAAACAATACATACACGCTAAATATTGTCAAAGTTTTAGGAAACGTAAAGAAGTTATACTGTGCCAAATCAACTTCGATGACCAACCGTTTATGTTCAAAAGTTAGTAATGACTAAGGCAAATGAAAACAGATAATTTTTATCTCGTGCTAATCACTATGAAGCTACTTCAGTAGCTACAACACGACGAGTGCCACATGTGGAGCAGGATCTGCTTACCCTTCCGAAGCATCTGAAATCATCCCCAATTTTTGGTGGAGTTCGTGTTGTCTAGTCTTTAGTTTTCTATGTTGTGTTTTGTATACTGTTGTTTGTACTTTGGTCTTTTTTCTTTCTTTGTCATGCCGTTGTCAGTTGTTTTTTTACGTTTTTGAGTTTGAATGTCCCTTTTACATCTTTCGCTTCTCTTAAGTCTTACAAAACCATGTCAGGTCAGGTCACGTCACGTGCATACTAATATCGGTGAATTAAAAAAAACACAAAAAAACAATGAAATTCTTGTTCGTATATTTAATACAAAATAATTGAGCACTGAAAAGAGTCGTAGCATTTAATGTTCTGGAAGGGTGAGCATTTTTGCTGAACATGCTATAGTAATGATCAAAATACTTACTTCATGTCGTATAGTTTTCCATGTATCATCTCATTTGCCATTGAAAGATTCACTTTTATTGATGCTTTCTGATAAAAAAAAATGTATAATATAAGTTATACAATATAAATGATTCTTTCCGTTTTGAGAACAAAAATTATGATATATGCAGCGATTCTAGAAAGAGTCATCTCGCTAATATTTGTAAAGTATGTTTGTAAATTGTAGTATAGTAATATTATATAATTTTTATAATTTGATTAAGCTTTATAATTACAGGCGACGTTGAACACACAGTTATTATTCCTTTTATAATACAATATTCGACAAAACTAAACGAGAAGCTTTCTTTTCAGGGAACATTTAGGCCCTCTTTTCGTGTATCGCACTTAAACAATTCTTTATATATGGGTTAATCACATGTGCCAAACGTTCGATATTACAACTATCCCCCCTTTTCGTTAAACTGTGAAAATAACTATACATGAATCAATTAGCAACAGCACTCAAAAACTGTGGTGGTTAATTATTGTATGATTGGCTCACCAATCAGAATACTGAAAAACTCATGTAGGTTATGTGTAGATACCCTCACACTTTTACCAAAAAAGGCGAATGAACCATGATACATATTTGTCAAATCTATCATCATAAATACTTTGTTTTGTCGACGAAATGCCCTTTTGACGTGCCAAACTATAAGCCTAGTATCTTTGATGAAAATTGTTTAAGAGAATATTCGTGAAAATGCAATTTTTTTACAGTTCAATATATTTGTTTGATAAACCAGGGTGATAAAATAAAAATACTCACAGCATATATTATAAACAAATAATGTAGACTTTTGTCTGATTTCCTAGCAAACAAGGTGATGTTCCCTTCCGCTCTCACGCCAAGGACTCCGACTGATATATTTGTCACTGGTGGTTTAGTACTAAGCATGTGTAGTTCTACTGTACTTCTAGGAAAAGCTTTTCCTATCTTCACGTAACAAAGATATAAGAAGTAAAAAAAAATTAACTTCTGTGCTGAACTTTTATTGCCAATATATTGAATTTATTATACTTTCATTAGCATAGTTTTATAGCAATTATCAATCGTTTATAAATTTGAGATAAACTGTTCGTGATGGTACCAAATAAAAGGAATCATGCAACCATATTGATTTACTGTAAAAATTGTATAAATAGATTTCAATATTGGTGCATATTCAAATAACAATTTCTGTGTTCTGCATTCCATTTAACCTTAAGTTTTTAATATCAGTTTTCTATTTGCAACATTTGACCTTGAATAAAATTAATTTGGCTCGTTTAATTTTCATAAAATTTTGACAAAATGTTTACTTTGACCCTTTGACAAAAGTATATAAAGATTTAAAAAAACTTGAACCACACACTTTATCGGAAAAATTTCATTGGATATATAGCAGTTTGACAAACACTAATTTTGGTCATTGAGAAGCTTAATATTTCCTTAACAATTGAACATGATTAAAACGTTCAGCTGATTTTCACAGAGTGTAATGTACCACCTTAAATTTACCTGTGGAATAAATTTCCCAATACATAGACCGGAGCAGGTTGTGTTCAATATGTCTTTCTTTTCTTTGATCTAGGAACGTAAAAAGAGAAAACAAGATTGTTCTTTTTCTCAAAACTATACAATGTTATAACGAAAATGAGATATAAGCAAACATTAAAAGTCCCTGATATTATATCTTTATTGTTATTTTCATGCGTTTTAGAAATGAAAAATCAGATAAAATCAAGTAATATTGACAGACGTTCTCAGATTTGGTACCTTTGCGATTTGCACAATTTTAGAAATGTAGTATTAGTTAAATCTATAGGAAACACGTGTGTCCTAAATTACATGTTTTTCTGTAAAGAATTCTCTGTTGATGGTAAATTTGTTGTAATCTATTAAATTTATTTACAAAACTGTTGTTTTGAACTCGACATATTGTTTCAATGCTTGTTTTTAAAGTTTTGGACACTACATATTGACCGCTAAATATTTTTCTGTTTTCCTTTTAGAAAAATAAATCTTTTTACTCAAGGTAAATTGAGAGAGAAATTTAGTCATACTACTCTCCTTATTTTATGTAACGCAAGGTTTAAATACTAAGACATATAGATTAAAACTAAATATTTTGCATGTGCTTTATGACCCAAAAGATTAAACATGATTAAAGGCGTTTATTTTGAATTTGTTTATCATAATCATTTGTTTTTAAGCTTCAAAATTTTAATTGCTCGCCCAAAAATGAGTTTGGATCTATTGATAAACGTTTTCTTTTCCTACTGCATGTCAAAACATGTTGCGATATGTGTACACGTTTAATTATTGATCTTTAATTTTCATGTGCAGTTTACAAAATATTACTTTCATCTTGTGTAAGTGAAATATAAAAATAAGCGTTATTTTTGTTTAATTCAAGATAATTACATTTTTTGAAGCCAGGTTGAACACTAGCATGTTATGTTTATGCGCTTGATAAAACATAGTGTTGAAGACATATTCTGACAATGTGATGTAAACCATTCTCTTGCTGTCTGTGATTGGTGCCATTGATTGTGGTGCAAATGGTGCTTCAGTTTTATTACTGGACCAGAGTATTTCTCCCTGTTTGACAAAACATAATACAATTTTCATTTAATCAGAAGAAATTAATCAAAATAAATACAGTGTGATTTCGTAGACAAGTTTTCACATAAGAGCCAATTTTGTTTCAACAAATCTTGAAATGAACGCTTATTGTTTTTGTAAAAGGCCAAAATGACATACCAAACTTGACAGGATATTGCACACATAATGAACTTGGCATTAAAAATGTTGAAAAATCCTATAGAGATATATATTTGGAGTTTCCTTCAATTATTTTTTTCTTCTCACTGTATCATGTGTATTGTAAATATTCCATTACAACTAAATGCTGTTTAAAAAAAACTATGTTCCTGATAATGAGAAGTGTTAATATTCTTAACAACACGACGGGTGCCACAATTGGAGCAGGATCTGCTTACCCTTCCGGAGCACCTGAGATCACCCCCGGCTTTTGGTGGGGTTCGTGTTGCTTAGTCTTTAGTTTTCTATGTTGTGTCATCTGTACTATTATTTGTCTTTTTATTTTTTGCCATGACGTTGTCAGTTTGTTTTCGATCTATGAGTTTCACTGTCCCTCTGGTATCTTTCGTCCCTCTTTTATGGTTTGCTATTTTACATCATAAAAAACATAATTAAAAATTTGACCTTTAGACTTGCTTCCATAAACTGTGGAGTTGCTTTTGGAGCTGACATGAGTCTGTAGTCAAGTGTCAGGAGCTTTCCCAGTTTTACCTGAACTGTAATTCAAAGTGATAAAATATGTTGGCGAATATATTTTTACCTATACGATAGCTCTTTGTCCCATTAAATGATCATCTACATTGATTTAATGATTTTCAACATATATTGAATAAAGCGAGATATTGGAATACGTAAGTGCGACAGCATCCAAACGAAACAGATAATCAATAGGCAATTAGAAGACAACATGAATACTTCAATGATAGACAGGTGGTTTAACAAATGCACAAAAATCAAGCTCACATTTTAGTGACATCAAATATCGAAAATTTAAATTATAATTATAGAATTTGACTGAGTTACGATTAAAAAAATATTTAAAAAAATTCCAGATTTCATGGGTTCCAAATCACATATGAACATGAAAAAATGAAAAAAGAATTGCTGGATAAAAAAACCAGTTACCTTTCATAGTTGAAAGACTCTTCTGTGCATTATTATCAATGAGATTTTGAACTATTCCGCACATCTGCAATGAAATACCTATTATTTAAGTCGTCGTAATTGAGAAGTAAGGAAAATGATAAAAACCCAACGCTGCGTGCTTTGTATTTTACAATAGATCACTAGAACATCTTAAGTCTAAATTTTAGCATGTTCAATCATTTTAAATACGTTGTAGCACTCCAAAGTTCGAAACTACATATCATCGTCGAACTCAACACGTAATTTTTGAATCTTTGTACTGTAAAGCAACTAATTTTTCGCCGGTCATATAAATGCACGACTTTCGCGAGAAGAATAACGCAAATGTATATCAGATTTGGATATCCTTATACGAACAAACCAAGAAAGGTGAGAAGACAGCAAAGAAGTAGTCGAGAAGTCGGCTTGAAGGCTCTATAAATACAAAAACAGGTATCCGCTAAAATATAAGTTGGTTTACTTTATAAACTGACTCGTTTGGAACTAGCTTCTTAGCTATAATGTATGATCTCTTCTGTGTAATAAGTTAATAAATAATACACAAAAATAATTCAAATAATAAATTCACATAAAAATAAAAGAAACAAACGAAACCTACACTTAAACTTATAAAAAAAGTGTTTATTGATAATTGATAATGACTGATATCGGGAAAAAAAAAACTATGTCAAAGAACAATCAATGTTTCTTCATAAACATGATAAAAGTGATGCAATATAATAAAATATGAAGAATAAAATTGAAAAAACGAACAATTTTTAGCAATACAATTGTGATTAATACTATTGACTAGAATGCGTTTAACGTTTACCATTTTCTGAAACTGGTTACTTATAGCCTTAGAAACTTTTCCTGCAAACGTATTGTAGATCCAGGCTCTTCCTCCGTGGAATTTGAACTGAACATGACCACTGTTGCATGCGCATTGTGCAGATTTAATTGTTGGTCTTCCATTAGCGTCAACACCTAAATTAACAATCTAATCATGATGACGAGAAGGTATATTGATTGATGCTCGTTAGATGGATTGGTTTTAAACGCCAAGACGTCAACATATCACATGCATATCGGATGGGAATATGTTGATGTGATATGAATAAGATCCTTGCTTTGTACTTCATTCCAAACACATTTTTCTGATCAGTCTTTGTTCCTACTCTTAAATGCAGAGTGTTTTGCGGGGAAGCAGCAAATGCCAATTTTCAAGGCTGGGTTGACAACTCCTGGGATTAAACCCACGACCTCCTGAACCCAGGGTGAGCATTCTACCACAATACCACCAAGGCAGTAGGATTTGTACTGATTACATATATGATATTTGATTAATGTTGTTGTTGTTAGTTTGCTATTGGGGTCCTTATTATATGGTCTTTCTATTTTATATGTTTACTGTTAGATAGATAACTTATACGTCGACTAATGCATAATGTTGAATTAAAGTTACAGCAAATGATTGTATTATTCTTTTTATAAAATTCTATATACACTTGTATGTGCCATTTGGACATCTATTGACAATTGAAATCTATAACAGTTATTGTACATCTGAGTATCGCTACATGAACCTACCCGCATTAATTCCAACGCTGAACGACATCCCTGAAAACTTAACCGTAAATCTTCCATGGTCAGATATCTTGATGCTGTGAACACAATGTTATAAATGAAAAAAAAAAAAGAAAATTGTTTATTAAAAAGACATCAACACGTCATAGTAACCTATTTAACATGTTTAATGAAACAAGAATTTTGACAATGTCTACTTTTAATTTCGTTATATTTGTACTTTTTTGTTGCTGACCAAATTAGTAAATCTTAAACCACTCAGCGTTTTTGAAAGAAGAAAAAAAAACACTGAAAACTTCGACAACTGAAACATTCTTAATATGGACGGACGGTATATGAGTGTTAAGTTTGAATGATTCAGATAAAGCATAGATTATCGACAAATGATTGACATTCCTTTTTACATAATTGATTACCCCACGAACCCTTAAAAATATTTCTATTTAATGTTATGCAATAGTGGTCGTTTAAAAAGACTTTTTAGTTCCAAAACTAATTTAGCTTGCAAATCAATTTCTTTCATTTTTGAAGATATTTTTTTATGTATTTTCAATTTGATAAAAAAATATTAACATCTTACAAATGCCATCGGTATTTATAGTGAAAATTTCCATCAATTTCCAATACGATGTTTGCTGTAGCCCATTTGAGATCACTTCCAGACGATAGTTTTATACTGCTAGTTCCTAGTTGGAAATTTTTTATTGCCAGACTGAAATAAAGAGTCATAATTGGTAAATATGTTAAAGGTATTCATATCTAGAAGGTAAAACGATGACGGAAATACAAAGAAATCAAAAACTATAAGCCAATGATAAACACACTACACCATGGTCAAAAGAAAAAAAGAACGAAGAAAGTACAAACACACTACACAAAAAAAACCAAAAGATTTAGCACAACAAATTTACCGTTAACATGGTGCAACGGAGGGTTAAGCATTTCTATTCCACAAGTTACATTCGCCGTGTTACTCTGGGTGTCACTCAAAATTGACCTAATGCTAACGCTCAGAAGACGTTCTATATCAATCTCTGTTTTGTCAGTGCATTGAACTATCAAACGTGAATAAAACTGACAGAACTCCTTATGCACGAGTTATTTCTGCCAGTATCAAATACATAACCCCGATAAAGTTAAAAAGCTGTATACATGTGTTAAATTATATTTAATAACTCTTAAACACATCTCTTCAGCAACTACGACGTCATTCGTTTTATTTGATGTATTTAATCCTATTCTCCCAGCACACTAGATAATATATGTACCTTGAAAAACCCTGAATGAACATACTTACCCATATATGGTATATTCTACATGATGTCCTGATCCACTTTGATCTGGAATTTTAGCGTTCCGTACTGTCTTAGAGATTAAATCCACAGCTACGGTATTAGCTAAAATTTTAATACAAGAAAACCAAACTATATTTAATGCATAATTATATAGATTACCATGTCAGAAAATCTGACATATCGGCAAATAAAAGGTACCATAAGTCACAGAAAACAATCGATCAAACATGCTTAGAAAGTTGTATGAACTTCAAGATACATGTAACATATGAATTATGTTTACGAGAAATAATAAAATTACAAAAAAACAGTACGATATATCGTATCAGAGAATTATCACAGCTACTTAAGGCAAGCCCAGAGTCTTCATTCACTGTTGATATGAAATCACGCCATCCATCACCTTTAAATAAATTGGTAATAGTATGTTTAACATCAATTTGATAACATTGGCCTGATACACACCCTGCTTGACTATTTGTTCTAAGAGTATCAATTAAGAAAATTGTCAAAGTTTAAGATGAGGCCAATGTCTAGTTATTTATATTTCGAGGTCACAAGTTTTCTATCCTCTGCTAAACTGGTTAAGAAAACAAGCCCTTAGGTTAACCTAACACGATTGGTTGTTGCTTTTATTTAAGGATCTATTTGGTTATATAACTCGCTTTGTATCAATTATTCATGATTCATTTTTCCGTTTTAGGCTTAGGGTATAATAACATAGAGTTCACTACATAGATACATAGTTTTATATGTTATGCAGAAATCTTCTTGATCTATGCACATAAAACCAAGAAATAAGACTTTACTCTCTTCATTAATATATAAACTCAAATTATAAATTGCAACCTTTACTTAAACAAATTAAACCTTAAGCCTCACAAATTTATTGAACTATAATATGCAGAATTTAGCGCAACAACAATTGTAAAGCAAGACATTTAGCATATGTTTTGCGTGTTCACAAAAACTGTTTTAATCCTACCGATGTTTTTTTTTTCAGAAACAGAATCAAAATCTATACATCATTTTCATAAATTTGAACTAAAGCCTTAATACTTGTTAAAACATACATACCATAATTCATTCCATTCTGTGTTATATGAAGTCTCAATCCGGGGTTCGTTGCATGAATGCAAGTTGCTAATAAGATGCAGGGCAAAATTATTGCCTGCAACATTCTGCATTGATTTACCGTTGAAAGTATAATGAATGTTTTTATACAACATACTTATAATCACGAGACAAATATTGACAGACTTCCGCAATACACACTGCATCAAGTACTTCCTGGACTTGACAATTATTAAGTGATGTTTAATTTATACATTGTTGCATTTTAAGTTTAACGGGATTTCTGAAAGTGTTATTTTAAGTTTAATAGGGATAAATGTAAGAACCAATACAAGCACACTTGATTTTAAACCATGCCTTTTATAATTGATACATGTATCTTAGTACATTTGTATAATGATGCTTGTTTTTACACAAGGAAATGCCTGTATCAAGTCAGGAATATGACAGTTGTTTTCCATTTGTTTGAGCTTTTGATTTTGCCATTTGATAAGTGATTTTCCGTTTTGAAATTATCCTTGGCGTTAGGTATTTTTGATATTTAACTTTTCCTGTAAATGTCCTTGTGTTGACACACAAGAATACCTTTCCCTACTAAGCACAACAATTATCTGATGAGTAGCACATATGCAAAGGTCGCATTGGGCAGCAACTTCAGGACTATATAACTTTAACTGTTTGTATGAATACAAACATATATTGACATGTCTTTGTTATGTTGGCTATTGGTGCTAGTTTTAATTATTATAAATTTATAACACAACTTATTGTGCAGACTAAGGTTTCTGGTTTTATGATATTCTCTGTGCCTTTACTGAAAAATCAGTCTTCTGGCGAACTGTTGCGACAGATTTGCCGCAAACACATCAGTAAGGTTGCTGCAAATAGTTTGCGGCAACTTGACCTCGACTTTTTACCATGCAAATGAAGGTTGCGGCAGACTTGCTGCAAAGTTTGATAGCCTTATATAGTTTGCAGCAAACTTCTGGCGGCTATTTGTGGTGAACCTCTGGCCTTATAAAAAAGAAGATGTGGTATGATTGCCAATGAGATAAGTCACCACAAGAGACTGAATGACACAGAAATTAACAACTATAGGTCACCGTACGGCTTCAACAATGAGCAAAGCCCATACCGCATAGTCAGCTATAAAAGGCCCCGAAATGACAAATGTCAAACAATTCAAACGAGAAAACTAACGGTCTAATTTATGTACAAAATAATGAACGAAAAACAAATATGTAACACAGCAACAAACGACAACCACATGAATTACAGGCTCTTAACTTGGGACAGGCAGATACAGAATGTGGCGAGTTATAACATGTTAGTGGGCGCCCAACCCTCCCCCTAATTCTGGGACAGTGGTGCAACAGAACATTAAGGACTGTAAAAACAATAAACAAACAACGCATATGATCAACAGCAACAAAAAACAACCACTCAATTACAGGCTCCTGACTTGGGACAGGAACATATAGACTGTTGCGGGGTTAAACATGTTAGCGGGCGTCCAACCCTCCCCCTAACCTGGGACAGTGGTGTAACAGTACAAAATAAGAAAAAATCAGTTGAAAAAAGCTTGACTCATCAGATTGATAAAAATAGAATACATCTAACAAAAAAACAGAGTAGACGTGGACGGGTACTTGTACATCCCAAAAACAAAAGGACACTTAGTACAGATCTGAGAGTACTCGCAATTACTGACAGCAAGTTCAAAGCCAATAACAACTAATAAAAAAATCATGCATCTAAGACTAAATTATCAATCAGTAGACATCCAACATTCAATGGATTTAGTGTAAAGACGTCATAAACAGTCAGAGAAAAACATGACATTATGCAATGACAAGATACAGGTATAGACCGATTGTGGAGTCATGAATGTGCATATGTATATAACAATAATATTTAGTTTGCTTTCAATTTACTGATAACAAAATCAATATTAATACCAATAAAACAATATTCAAAGATATAATTACAGTGTTGAATTGGTAACTTTTAGAATAAGTTTATTTAAAGGATCGATAAGTTTACCCGGATCGTTTCTAAATTTCCGGGCTCGCTCGGTAAACAACATCTCCGTTAAAATGAAGATGTGCTATCCCGTTTGAAATAAGTTTTCTACAGGTGCAACCAAACTTCAAACCCAAATTTTTATATCTATGGAAGAATTTGGTAAAGGTTTTAAGTAATTTGTGTTAACGAAAATGCTGACTTAATAATTTACCAGTAATACATAGATTACGTTCATTAACATCCACAACGTCACAACAGACACGGGCATAGCAAACGAGTTGTGATATTTAAACACCCTAAGATGCATAGTGTGCCAAAGTACCATCACCATCCAAAAAAGGAAAATTAACAATAGGGAACGAAAAATCGTCCCATTTGTCGTAAATTTTAGTATAGAGTTTCCCGTGTAAAACTGAAACATATAAATCTAGGAAAGGACAGTTATTACCGTTCATATTTGATTTATTTAAAGTAGGTTCCTTTGGGTAAATTTCGGCATTCTATTTACAAAATTCTTGATTATTTAACAAAAAAATATAATCAAGTTAACGGTAAGTGTTGTTGAATTTATCAATTAAATGCAGTCAAGATGTTGTTGAATTTATCAATTAAATGCAGTTAAGACGGGTCTTTACTGAGTTTGGTCAAAAACTGTGATTCATAACAGTTCAAGAATAGGTCTGCTATTAGAGGGGCGCAATTGGTGCCCGTAGGAATACCTACAACCTTCCGATAAACTGTGTTGCCGAAACGTACATCAATATTATCCTGGAGAAAATTAACAGCTTCAATCATCTCATCACTCCTTCAGTAAGTATATCTAGCATATTTACCTTTCTCGTTAGAGAAGAAGGCTTTAAACATGTTAAATGAGTTGCAGCAAATATATTTGCATTCAGATTTACCACACGACAATTTAATTAAATGGAAAATATTTGTTTGATAAGATTATGTAGAAGTGTAGTGTAAAGAGTTGAAAAGTCAAAACTGTCAACAGAATCAAAAGAACCATCAAAAGCACGTGATTTATCTAAAACATCCAAAGAATTTTGTACACTCCAAAAATAGTTAATTCCACTATTTTCATATTTTTTATTACAAAAGTTAATGATTCTTTGATAGTAGTTAAGGAACTAGTTAAAAGCACTGAAATATTTGTTGTAGAACACTTACAAGAGGCCAAGATGAAACGATATTTTACTGATTTTTGTGTAGTTTAGGTAACAATACATAGTAGGGACCTTCAAATGCTCAGAAGAGGTCTTAAGGTGTGATGTGGACTTTTGTGGTTATGATATGTTTGTTTACTATATGACTCTCTAAGGAGCGCACGGATTTGAATATTGATGAATTCAAAATTCATTCTTAAGAACGTCCGTGTAGTATTTACGGCATATTTACACCTTATGTAAGAATCCTGGGTTTTGATTGGTTGATAGCCACTGTATTTTTCACCAATTTACTGTTATCAAATGAATATCGTTCATTTTTTAACGCCGCCGGGGTATATGCAAAAAGGATATGCCTTTTTTACCCTCTTTGCCGTGGTATCTGCCAAAAAATACTCTATCCGACTGGACGCTTGTAACGTCACGATCATCAATGCGTTTTTGATCGTTTCCTTACGGCTCGCGAAATTTAACATTCTCTCAACTGGTATTTTTCGCAAATACCCCTCCTTAACATGATACATCTGTTCATACCACCATTTGTATATAGTTTGTGGCGAACTTCTGGCGACTTTTTGTGATGAACTTCCGGCAAACTTCCATAGCCTTAAGTAGTTTGTGGTGAACTTCTGGCAAAACAAATATGCTAATGATGCCTTGTGGCAACCTTTCTGTTAATTCTTTTTCAAAACTGTACGTCTCATTCAATACATGCATATACTGTACGGATCGAAATTTAAATTGTATTATATGACAGATAACTCTTATTTACCTGCTGATCAAAATTTCATTTTTTAAGAAATGTGAAAGAGAGAAATATAAATTGTGACCACAAAAAAACCCATAAAAACTAAATATATATATTTATAGAGGTACATATATATCCTATTAATCTACTCAGTGCAGAACTCAGAATGAGCTGATTAATTTCTTAACAGATTCATATGCATGAAAAAAGCAAAACTGTTTTTTTGATAATGGTCAATTATTAAGAAACTGTTATTTAGGCATGACAACATTTACACTATATATACAAATTAAGCATAAAATTATCTAAAATATTAGTCAAATGTGGTTTAAGGCGAAGTGTACGTAATTAACTACTCCACAGAATTTTTTTTAAATTTTACATGTGGATTCTGCTTGTAAAAATACATCAGACAATAAAATAAAAAAAGGGGGTAACCGTTTTCGTTTTTCAGATACAAGCTGTTGAAATTAACAGCATGATAAGCCAAAAATACAAAGGATATATAGGGAAAATCATAAAAATCGGCAGATATTTTTACTTTATCAAGATTTTCTAATTCGTTGCTCCACAGAATTTTTTTAAAAATCGGTATGCGATTCAAAAATGAACGACGAACCCATTGGTGCAAAGAAAGTCCTTAGCAACCGTGCTAGTTTTCAAGCTATATCCTGTGGAAGTTTGATTTCTAGCGGAGAGAATAAAAACAATCGGCGACGTTATTGATGTCTACTGTAACGTCATCACAATTTCTACTCTATAACGCTATTATACCGTACAGTGTCGTAACAAAATCGTGAGTGTGTATAACCCATTTTCTTAATTATTGCAAATGCTCAAGCGTAATCAATTAATAAGGAAATAAAATGACTATTTTTTAAGGATATTTCTGCTGCCAAAAAAAAAAGCAAATTGGCAAATAAATATACTGCAAGTGAAAGAAAGTTACTATATAGACTTAAACTCCATCTTTTTTTAATTAGACAGGGTTCCACTTCTTTTTTGAAATGCTTGTATTTATAGCTGACTATGGGCGTTGATCATTGTTGAAGGCCGTACGGTTACCTATAGTTGTTAATTTCTGTGTCATTTGGACTCTTGTGGAGAGTTGTCTTATTGGCAATCATGCCACATGTTCTTTTTTTATATTGTAATGTTCTAATAATTATGAATCAAATATCAAGTTTAAAATTGTCCCAGTAAACACAGCGTTGACAGAATGATTCTATACGTATTTAAATAATCGGTTATAATATTGGGATCGCGTATACACTTC